TCAAGATAAAGTTTTCTCCCTGCATATATTTTTTTATTCATGGCAGGAGGTGATGAACAGAACACTTTGAGTTTATATAGCTGTGTATACATAAACTTTAATGATGTTTAGCATGTTGGTATTGCTTTGCAGAGTGACCAAATTCTATGACCTGTTCACTTTTCCTATTAATGCATGTTTGTTAAATTACTCCAGCTGCCTAACAATTCCTAATTCATAAAGAATCCAAGTGAGAGTCACTCTTCCCCATTACCAGGTGAAGAGACGTCATAGCCCACAATCCCAGTTCAGTGGGCTTTGGAGTTTTGAGAAGGAAATGACAAGCACACAAAATTGCTTGCTGTCCTTTAGAGAATGAGAAAACTTGTCTTCAGGGCTCTGTACGAGGTGTTTGAAGATGGATATATTCCTCCCTGCACACGCCCTTGATCTCCTCAGGGACCTCATTACTCTGCAGAATGCAGCAGCCCTGCCATGGTGTGGTGCTTCCCCCACAGCCAGCAGTGGGGTCACCCTCCAAGTTTGCAGACGGCTGCACCCATCCCACTTGCCTGTTAGCAAATCAGGCTGTCATAACCTCCATGACAGCTCTGCTACAGCCTTGTAACGCTTCAATACCCCATTCCTCCCCGCACGGGTTCCCAAAGGGGAAGAAATGTAATCGGAAACTGTCAGCAGACGTGATTGTGCCGCAGATGGAAAAGAGGGCTAGTGGGGGTCTCAGGACTATTCCAGACTTCCCAGGCTCTCCCAGCCCTAGCAGCTAGAAACCCCCTTTTCTACATTGTTCACCCCTTGGCTCCCTCCAGCTCCTGGAAATTACCTGAGCTAGAGCTAAATTCCAGAAGAGGAGAAAACAGTAGCTGAGGAGGTTTGGATGGGAAAGAGTTAGCCTTTGAGTCACTGTAAAGGCTCTTTTCTATTTAAAAAATTCCATGAGCGAGTTACCAGAAACAATTTTCTACTGGAAAAGGGCAAGCGGCTTTGGAAGATTAACTAATGATATCATTTTTCACTCCTTGTCCAACAACTTCAGCAATATTTCATCTTACTGATTCTGACGGATGGTGTCATCACAGACATGGCTGACACCAGAGAGGCCATTGTCCATGCCTCTCACCTTCCAATGTCAGTCATCATCGTCGGGGTGGGGAACGCCGATTTTAGTGACATGCAGATGCTGGATGGTGATGATGGGATCCTGAGGTCTCCCAAGGGCGAGCCTGTGCTTCGAGACATTGTCCAGTTTGTGCCATTTAGGAACTTCAAACATGTAAGCTGATTTTTTCATCCATTCCATATAAGGGTGAATGTATATAGCATATAGTGAATGGTCCCTGGGACAGGGCCTAACCTTGGATGGGCATGAGGGGTTTAATAAGTATGTGGCATTATTGTGTCAGAAATTGAGAAAAAAGTGGAATACAGAATGAAATGTGCTCTGTTAGTGAGATGGTGAGGGTGGGGAATGAAGAGATGGGGCAGAATCCATGTGCTTCTTGTGGTACCAGTCCTTCCTTCCACTTTCTCCCTGATTTTAGTTTGGTTGCCCTCCCTGTCTTATTTTTCCTGGTGTCTCTTTTCCATTCTCTTTGCATCTGTTCCATTAGGGCCACTGTTTTCCATCCCTTCATTTCCACAGGCAGCTGCAGTGGCTGTGAATTTGTACTCATAGTGTTCCACAGGAAGCTTTTTCCTTACCGAAATCTAGTTCCTTAAGTTCTCAAAGGCAGGACTATCCACCCACAGCACCCTGGTTGCCTCCAAACCCCTTCCTCAAATTCTGTACGAGAACACAACCGAGAAAGTAGTGTTACTAAGAGCTTCCCTGTGCCCTCAGCCAGTTGTTCCTGTGTGAGCTCAGCATGGTGTAGGAGACACTCTGTAGGAGAGGAAGGGACAGACTCAGGATTAAATTGCCAAATTTGAAATAATGCCTTGGCCATGTACTTTCCCCCTCAGTCAGCTGCCTTACACCACAGCATCTGTTCCAGGGACTTTTTCAGCAGTTGGGTAGAGACAGTGTTTGCTCACGGAAGGAGTTTTCCCACACACGGCTGGGTTTTTCAGGGCACTTTTCTTCCATATGGAGGCATGGAATGGCCATTGTGTTCCTCTGCAATGCTGATCACATCCCTTTCCCTCTGTTTTTCCATCCTTCTCTCCCTTCCTTCCCCTCATTCCTTCTGTTATATTCGAGTGGTTCTCCAGACTGGTTTTTTGCTCACCACGGTGTCTAGGAAGGATATCCTCACTATTTGATTTGAAAATTTCTTTACCCCACAGCGTAACTGACTCATTCTCCTCATGATATGGCCCTTTCCAATCCGCTCTCATATACTAGTGGTTCTTAAATCTGGGTATGTCACACAGAAGTTTTCAACTCTGGGTTGGTTTTGGTCTGCATATGGGTTTGCAGTGCTTACATTTCTTAAGTTTTTCTAGGCTCTTTGTTACCACAGGAGATTATTTTTATCTTCTGTTTGCTACTTCCAAAATACAATAATTTTACTTTCCTCTTCGCAAGAGTTGTTCTTTTTTCTCACTTCAAAATACAATGTTGCCATATTTGTCTTAGATCTAGATGCACTTCTTACTTTCACAAATTCTACTGAGGAATAAGAAAAACAAACTTGTTCCTCTTTTCCCTCTACCTTTATGTAAACAATGGTCCCTCATAGGAGGTAAAACTCACCTTGTGCTATTAGTTTGGTGACACCACGCCAAATGGCTGCAGATTTGCCACTGAATTGTAGATACACACATTTTTATGCTGACAGTGCCACTCAGTCACCTACCTGCTGGACCTGCTCATAGCTTGTGATTCTCTGTCATCAGATAATCACAAGTGCGTAGTGCTGCACTGTAGTTTATTATAATAAAGTGTCAAGAGGCAAGTTATTTATGGGCTAGTGCTAGACTTGCTTTCAATTAGTTGAAAACACATTTCTGCAAGGAACTGGCAAATCCAGTTGCATTTGTTATTTTTAGTTTCATTTTGTGATTTTACAACAAAGTTGAAATCATCCTTGATTGAATAGATGAACGCTGACAGTTGCTGTTCTGGACACTGAAGATATTGTGCCTCTGGTGTTAACTTGTGAATGAGTCTATGTGTGACTTTAATTGTTAGCACTGATCAAATGACAAGCATATATTATTTTTAGCTGGTTTAGATTAACTTCCCCAGTACTCGGAGAGGACAGTGTCTTAAAAATTTATTGCTCTTGTTAAACAGTGGTATTTTTCTCCCTCATTCTCTCATTAGCAGAGATAATATAGAGATAGATAATGTGTTTGTCATATCAGAAAAGTCAATATATCTTATGCAACTTGATATTTATTCTGTTTATTGTGATCTTTCACCACTTCAACAAATGCCAGTGTAATGGATGAGTGGCGATAACAATAGCCACTTCTGGTTGGATTTCTTTATTGTCATAGCCCAAATAATCTCTCTCTGAACAAAGTGACATTCACAGCTATCTTGCTTTCTTATCCTCAGCACAAATAAAAGACCATGCCTTTTGCATCAACTAGTGAAATAATTTTTCATGGGAGAAATGAGTGTGATGTTTTGATTCAAACTTATTTTTCCCCATAGAGAAATGTGGATTTAACACATTTGGGAGAATTTTGTCAGATCAGTTCTGACCAAACACAAGAATTACCATAAATCAGCATATTACATTTGACAGCTTTAAGTGAAAGTTGTATTTAGGTAAAAATCACATCCCTTTTGTCAATGTACCTTGTGTTTAGCTTTAATATTTAGGTTGTTCAACTATTAAGTAGAAAATAAAACAGCTGAAGGATCTTTTTAGAAAGACTACAAATCAAGTTGTGTAAGGTTTGTAGGTTTTTCTGATAAATCAAGTATTTATTTATGCCTAAATCTGTATTACGTCTACTACTGATGGAAGGAGGGAAGAAAATTTTATTTGTGAGCAATTATTTTTTGTTTTGTTGGAACAGCAAACCAAAATTCATTTGGAGTCAACCAAAACAATATATTTTTTTTCATTACTTCAACTCTTAGGTCAACCTGGAACTCAAAATCTCATATCTATCCAAAGAGATCAAAAATAATCTATCCAAAAGCTGCCCCTGTGAGAAAATTGAAAGGAACGAGAACAAAGTTGTAAAAATATCCTATAGAGTGAATCCTTTCTATTTTATGTTTGACTTCAGAGAGGGTTCTGATCCTGCATGGCATTCATACAGGCATTTAACACATTTCAATTAGTTACAATTATTCACATACCTAAGACCTCACACCCAATTCAACGTTTTACTGGCTCAAGACCCAATGCAGATAGATGCTCTATTATAGGGGTTTAACCTCCTACATGATATAAGGTATCAGGAGTATTTCAGTAAAGCATCTTACCTTTTTGACTATCTCTTTGAGGAATATCTTTGAAGCTATCAAAGTATTAATAATTATTGTGATGATTCTTGGCAAGTCCTGGAGTTGCAGAGGCTTGATAAAATCAAGGTGACCATTACCGCTTTAAAAAATGTCCCATTGTATAGTGGATGACATGTGCAATTCACTACAGGGGAACATAACAAACAAAGGAAAACTTATTTTCCCTGAACCCAAGTGAATTTCTTCTCTCTGTAATTATCACCACCCCAACAATGTGAGTGTCCTTCACCTGAAACTGCAGAACAGTGATGCTCACAATCACTGAAATGTAGTTGAAGAAAATCACCTGTCTCAATCCATTCACAGTTATATTTTAAGAGCTGAAATTATCTGCCTTCAGGATGCCTGATATATTTACTGTGCACAAATCTGATGCCACAGGTAGATTGTATTTCACTCTGCATTGTATTTAATCATAAAGGCTAACAACTGTGTCTTAATAACACATGTATCACAAATGAGTGTGGAAAGCACAGTTCTTAACCACTGCAAGGAGCAATGTTTTGCAATATGAATTGTAATTAAAGATTAAGGATGGTGAACCTATAGAACTGACTCAACAGTCAGTTGTAATATACACCAATTATCATCACAGGGGATTGTTTTCCTGCTGCTGGCTTCTCCGATTGTTGTGTATTAGCCATCAGTTGAGAACTATTCATCTTGAGGTGTTTATTGCTAGGATGTTCTTCAAGAGAAAATGTTACAGTAAAACATTAATGTACCATCTGTGTTAAAAGCCCAGCAAAGGTAACCCTTACACAACACTGCTGAAGTGGGGCTGGTTTTTAGCTCTGAAGTTACTGGGTCTGATTATTACTTACACAAACGGTGCTTTGTACCATCTGGTCTGGAAGTGAGCATGCTTTACCACCACAAAAGTACGTAAGGTACAGCTGGCCCAAGTCATGAGGCGGGAAATCACCCCTAACCCTGGTTTTGAGATGCTCCCAGCCAAAAAGAGCCCCAGGACTAACAGACATCACTGGCATGATGAAACACTGCAAAGCAACAGTTGTCCATGCTCAGACTGAAGCACGGAGTCAAGCTAGCTACCCCAGGGTGAGTCTGTGTGGGGCCACACGTTGCCTGTGAGCTGAGTAAATGTCTTAGCTTAAACTTCGGTGGAAGGCTTTTTACTTCACATGCACACAGGGTGAGCAGTGCACAGCTCAGCTGACTCCTCCAGTGGCGGTGATTCAGCCGTGCGTCTGAGCCCCGGCAGAGCCTGCTCTGAAGGGCTGACCCTTCGTTCGGGAAGAATGGTTGATGCCTCAGAGGAGAGAGAAACAACGACAGGAGGATGACGCAGGGAGATGAGTGCTGGCCCAGCGTTCAGACATGTGGACTACACGTGATCCAGAGAAGCTGGTGGCAAGTGCTCCTGCCCAGCATTTTTAAAGATAGAGTGAAGTTTCCTGATTGCTAGCTCTTCTGTGTGCAGCGATAGCCCAGGACTCTTCCCCCACTCCCTGTTTTTACCCTTTATGCAGAGTTACATTTTTGGTAAGGTGGCACAGAGGCAGACTAAGGCATATACACCTTTGGCACACTGGGAAGGAGATTAAAAAAACCAGTAATTCTCAATAGCAATATAGGAATCAGCCATTTGCCTCATTCCAAGAGGTATTGTCTGCTGATTTCAGTGAAAGCAGTTTAGTTTAGGCAGGAACAGGGCCACTGTGGAAAACCATGCATTTCACTTTGAATAATTAAAATATATGGGTTGTGTTACTGTGTAATACCTGAGAACAGTTGCTGCGCTGTCACACAAAGTATGGGCTCTGCTTTGCCAGTTTGTTAATGCAAAAACATTCCAGGCTTTTTTGCCTGCACAAATATTTTGGTATAAATGTCACAGTAGGGAAACAGCAGTTCATTTTATTCATTACTAATCACATGTGTGACTCAAAATACCAAAATACAAAAAATAGTTTTGTTTCTGGGTTTGCTATCATTATCTTTTTATTTGTAGTATTGCAACATTTGATACTGGAATTTATAATAGGCCCGAGGCTTTCTGCACTCCTGGATTAGCGTGCCTATGAATAGTTTACCATTTACATCCTATGTAAGCCTAATTTTAAGACTGTGGAAGGATAAGGATCCCACCCCATGAAACATAATAGGGCAATAAGCATTCAATACAAATACTTTGTGACATTGTAGTTTTGAAACCTGGCTGACAATATAACGGACAGTAAGGAGGGGAGTGTTCATTAGTGTGGGAAAAAGTACTTGATGTGCAGAAGATACGTGATGGAGCTACTAGCTGAGTTCCTGTGCATCGTCCGAACTGCAATGTGTGTTCCATGTGTGTTCTATCTGGAGAGAAAGACATTAGTTTAAACTTCTCAAACTGATTTTGAAGCATTTGCATTTTTACTTAATTTTTGTGGCGGGCTCAGAGGGAATGTGGTCAGGCAGGCTGGCTCTCCGGGGCTTGAAATCAGCTCTACCCAAATGCTTAGAAAGGAGCAAATCCTAAACACAGGGCAAGAGGGTGCTATTGGGCTGCAAGGGAGGAGTCCAGCTTTGTCACTGCTGAACTCAGGGGCTGAAGAAAATCCCTGCAGCACATGTAGGTAACTGTTGCCCACAAAACACCGGCAGGCCCCACTGTTTAAAATGAAACATTGTGAGGGTGTGAGGCAGCAACTGTGTGCTGGCAATGAGGGCATGGTTTCTCACTACACCGAGGAGTAGCCCTCCTCCCCACCTGGGGCGAAAGCCAGTGGCCATCTCTACATCCATCTCTACCTTTCAGGGTCACGAGTCCTTAAGTCTGGTTAACACTCACCATTTATAAGTTGCAGGAAGAGCTTTAAAGCCTCCACAAAGACTACGATTGAAGCTTTCTCATTACCGTGGTTTAATTCCAATGAAAACAAAGTATTTTTTATCGAATTAAGATCTTCCCCAACCATTAAAACACCATGCCAGATCCTGAAGAGCAGAATGGTGATGAAGGCCTCCCTTTTACAGTTCATTCACATATAACTTGAAGCTCTGCAGGGCTTCTCGATGAGTACTGATGAATGAAGTCTTTGCAGCCCTTTTCATTGTGATATGGTGCTCTCCCAGAGTGCAGGGAAGTTCAGTTACCCTGAACTTAAAATAGTCCAAATAGACCTGAAAAATATGCAGAGCACTTTTGGCTTTAGTGTACTTTGAGGCAGCTACTGCTACATGCCCAAACAGACTCATAAAATGAGTTTCCAGCAATAGTGCCACCCTGACTCTTTGTTTGCCTTCCATTTCTGTACCACACTTCCTACCTTGATCTCATGGCACCAATGCCTCTAAAACCTGTGGCACTTCTAGCAGAGAGACAGGTTAACGCTTGTGTTTTCTACCATTTCCTGCAGGCATCCCCAGCTGCTCTAGCAAAAAGCGTTTTGGCTGAAGTTCCAAACCAAGTCGTGGACTATTACAATGGCAAAGGGATAAAACCAAAATGTATGTCAGAGTACGAGTCTTCCAGGACACTAGCTCCATGAACCTGCCTGCACTCTTTTACAAAATTAAAAAAGAAAGATGCTACCATCTACAACTACTGTACTTAAAAATGAAACAAAAAAAATAGCACGTTTTGGTGATTTTTAACTAAAATAACCATTTTTTTTGCATGTGTAGCCTAAAGGCCTAAATCTGTTAAGCAGTTGTATTGTTGAAAACTTTTTATGAGAAAAAAAATCCAGAAAAAAAAAGTGAACTCTTTACATTACAGCATGTCGCCTTGAAATAAAAAGTTATCTGTATCTGTTTTTTATACAGGTTTGTTGAAATTTTGCTAAATTTCTTATCTTTACACTGTAAAGCATTTTGAAATATTTATTGAGAGTTGATAGCCAAAATGTCTTTGGTTTAATCTGCTATGAACTGAAAGATTTTTCAAAATGGCAGATGCATGAACTGTATTTTGCATGTTTAAAATAAAAACAACACAGTTTTGCAGTTGTTGTCTTTATTTCTCTCTCTGCCACAAGGCTGCCTGCTTTCAACTTCCATATTCCAAGAAAAGGGTAGTAAGGTGTTTCGAGAGATACCCGGCCTGAAGCATGGGTGTTTCTAATGTTAGCAGCTTCTAACATGGGCACCTGAAAATGCCCACCTCAGTCTGTGGTCTGAGTAGCAATTTTTCAAAAGCCTGACACATCCAGCTGCTATGAAGTTTTCAGACCATAGCTGTAAACAGATCCAGCTTGGAGGGCATGATCCATCAGGATTGCATGTCTTAAAATACGCCTACTTAATCCAAACAATCTGGCTGGCTTTCGAACAGGTTGTATTTTGGCTACCTGAATTTATAATCTCTTATGTTTGGGAATTCTTATTTTGTTTCATTTATATTTTTCAATCTCACACTCAGTATCCAACTTTGCGTGATATGTTTTCCAAAAGAAATTTCACATTGCCTGATTTTGTGACAACCAGTGATTTGTAACTTCATGCACACACAGATCACTGTGTGACAGAAAGTCTGGTTTTGTACCAAGAGAATATTCAAGCCACCTTTTTTTTTTTTTTCCAAGAGGACATAAGAACAGATTGGCAGTGGATTGATTTTTCATTAAAATATTTATGTATATGAGGAAATTAGATCATTGTTAGAGTTTTGACTTCTCCATTTGCTAAAAGACAATAGTGAAAGATGTGACTTCTTAGAAGTTAAGGATAAAATTTGATCAAAAATAATTTCTCTGGGATTGTCCAAAGGGCACAGTTTTAGACAAGTTGTGCTCCCAATGAACTGAAAGCATTCTTGTTGCTAGTTCCAGAAGAAACCGTTTTGGGCCAGTGCTGAACATTTTGGAAAATCTCACCTGTGAGCAAGCGGTTTTGTTTTAGAAATATTTGGGTTTAAAATGAGTTTGCAGGTAATGTAGGACTCTAGATCCCTGACTCTCCTTTAGAAGTAACTTCCGTGGGATTTGATTGATGATTTTGTACCATAAAATGAAGGCAATGGGATAGCCAAGATGCATGAGGCTGTCTGCATAGCACATTCGGTTCTGCTCCATCTATATCCTGCAACGCAATCGTTCATGCTTGCTAGTAAAGATTTCTTCAGCTGATCGGATATTGCACAGCAGCCAGTATTACTTGGTCATAGGTATAAATTGTCTGAAGATGTTCCGACAGATAGATCTCAAATCCACATTTCCATTTAATGGCTGACTGTTCATTTGAGAGCTCACCCCATCAGGCTGTACATCTCTCCCTCTGTGGATGTATTTCAGCTGCGACTGTGATTCTCCCTTATATCTCATACACCACTCTACCAACGTATCTTAATCCTTATCTACAAGATCTCTAGTTTCTTATTCCCATTTTTCCCCTTTTTTCGTTCCTTCCCTATTCTCAGGAGTGTTTTCTAGCTGTTAAAGCATATGACTGAAAACTCAATGACTCCACGTTCTTTGCTCCTCCAGTATAATTTTGTAATCTTGGCCAAGTTTTTTAACTTTTCTGCACCTCAGATTCCTCGTCTATAAAATGATGGTCACTGCCATATTCATAATAACTCACAATATTCATAAATAACTCACAATGGTACTGGGGGACTTTAATATTGGAAAAGTGATTTGAGATCATCCTCAGAGACATGATGGTGCTCTCACCACGTAGAGTATTACTTTACGCTGGGGCATGGATTTAGGAATGTAATGCACAGCTGAGGAGGGGTAAAGACTTTTCTTTATTATTTGGCAGACTGAAGGAAAGTAAAAGAAAGCTTTCAGCAAGAAAAATTGGTAGTCAGATAAACTGTTTTTCTGGTACATACGATCTCTGGCTAAACTGATTTTTCATGTGTGTATGGCTACATAGAATTGAGCAGTTACAGCTCTTCAGTACCAAAGGTGTTACAAGGTGCTCCCATAATGCAGCATCACATTAAAATGCAGAGATCAACAGGCTACCTATGTTGAGCTATATAAATCACCCTTTTCATGTATGTAGGTGGTCTACATAAGTGTCTAAGTGAAAACGAATTACAGTTGCTGCAGATCTTTCTGTTTATTTCACACAATCCAGATTATAAATGTTGTCTACTTAAAAATAAATCATTACCAGTGGTCATATAGATCATCGATTCTGTAGCAGCCCTCAAGGTATTTGAAAAAAACACCTCCATGATATTGAAAAAGCAATTGGAAATCTCCTTCAATCTATACAGATCCTAGCATGTAAAACAAACACGTAATAGTGGGGTGAGCTGGTGTAGGAGAATGCACAGAACACAAAACTAGCCATATGGTAAAGGCTTTCTAACGAGGCTTTGAATGTTATTTTCATTGCTCCAAGTTACTCAGTGCAATAAGATAGAAAGGGTTTTGTGCATCATTAAGTATATGAATATACCTCTGAAATGGCATTTTTTTCCCTGTTTTATCTACTTAGGATTTTTTTCTTTTTTTATCTACTTTCAGCGAGGCCATTCTGCCTTTAGACTGAACCAACATCAATTTCTCTCACATATTTTTTAATGCAAATTTAAAGTTCTACAACCTTTTGAGTAATCATTTTAAATTCTGAAACTTCTTTACATTATATCTTGTCCTTTTGAGGTAATCGATGATCTAAAATAACTTCTCTGACAACTGCAACTCTGCCTTCCTTTTTATTGTCTCTCAAACATGATTCAAAATCCAAAAGTCGCAGGATACTCAAAGATATTCATGATCCTTATTAGCACAAAATGCATTAATATAGATAATTCTTGAGCCAGATAATGAGCTGAGTTGTATTTTTAGTTGTATTGGGGAAACTAAGTCTACAATAATTTTTAAAAAGTGCTAATAGACTGTAATTGCTTATTATCCTAAGTTAAAATCTACTTGCGTGAAGTTCTTACTATGGTAGAAATATAGCGTTCTATACCATTTGATGACAGAGTCTACAGCTATGAAATGAAAACAAAATTATAGTAGTAGTATTGCTTTAAAGCATGTCTTGCCTTTTGCTCTCCAAATATCAAAGGTACACAACTGATGAGAGCTAAAAGGTTTACAGTTTGATCTGTGAGAGACCTGATGAGTGCAGCGGAGAACAGTTGTCTAAACCAAGGCTTGCTGCAGGTTGCAGAGGTGATATTCCAACAAATACACAGGTGGAAGGCCCCTGTTCTGAGCAGATTTGCATGACAGAGCCCGGCAGCTCTCAACGACATCCCTTGGGTTTACCCACACACCAGATACTGTGGTAGAACAGCGTGTGGCTTACCGAGCCTCATTGCTGTATTGCAGTAAAATCTTTGTTGACAAGTTAAACAAAGCTACCTCCTTCACCCTGGCTCTCCAGCTGCACAAACAGGGTATGGCTTACGCCCAGAAAGGACCCAACTAGTTACTCAGATTGACCTTTCTCACTTGGGTTTATGGGTCTTGCAGTAACACCTGTTATGTAAATCTAAACCTATACCAAACCTTTCCTGAGTGAGAGGTACTTGTGATTTCAGGCACAAAGAATTGGTACATTTACATTCACATTTTTTTGCCTGGGAAGGATGAGCTGGATGACTCCTAAGATAAAGTCATACTTTTCAGGTTGTTTTTTCCCCTTAGCTACAGAAAGTGCCATTTTGCCACAAGGAAAATACAGTTTATAGCACCACCCATCTTCATTCACTCATAAGTCTTACTTGTACCTGCAGTTCTGGGCTGAGGAGTTGCACTTCACCAGAGGCAATTTCGGCAACTAGAGAGCTGTGTGAGTGATACTGGTCAGCCCAGTTGCGTGTTTGCTTGCAACACTCACTGCAAACCACCAGTTGGCTGCACTCACAGCCCCTCTTTACTGGTTTTCCAATTCATTTCATAGCTGAATCTTCCAAACAGATCTGGTAAAACCTAGCTGAACTCTTTCTTGTGAAGTCCTCCAGTTCATAAGTGTTTCCCTTTCCTCATTCCTGCAGTTCTAAGAACCACCCGAGGCAGCAGACGAGCAGGGAAGGTTATTTTGTAATGGGCACTGTTGCATTCTCTTCCTTCTCTCAAAAAAAGTGCTAGTCATTACTACTGCTGTGCAGAAAGCCTTTTACTGCTGTGTTCAGGAGGCACTTGAATTCTTGTCCCACTGCTTAGAGCAGGCAGGTTGCAATCTACATTCAGAGTTGCAGCCATCTCACTACACACACTTCCCCACACACTCACAAATTGACACGAGTTCATGCCTCTTTAGGATCATGAAAAGCTGCATGCACAAAAAAAACCAACCAACCAAACAAACAAAAAAAATGGATAGTGCATCATCATGTTAAAAAGGAGAAAAGTAGTACAGCATTAAAACTTTTCTCTCCAAAATGTGTGCACCTCCCCCATGTATTACTTCCAAGTACATGAAATCCTGCATCACCTCAGCTGTGCAGCATGCTAGATAAGAAAAGCACCATACTGTGGCAACAAGGCTAGACAGCATCAAGAAAGCCCTCTTCTCTAGCAGGGATCATCCATTGTGACTTGGCAAGTCACTTAATCTTGCTGTGTGCCTTGGTTCCACATCTTTAAAATGGGGATAAAGAGCATTTTGCTAGATCTTGAGGACTTTAGTAGGGTAAGCACCATTGTAGGGTTGTTACAGCACTCAGAAACTGGGAGATATCACTTTTAATATTTTTAGATCATTTCTTCCTTCTGGTACAGAAGTCCCTGTCAGAGTAGCAGCATAAGCTACTGACAGACCGCACTAGAAAACACATCTACATGAAATTTAGCAACACCCCTGCAGTGTTGCTGTTGTTGATGCCAGGGAGAGATCAAAAAGATGCAGTGGTCACTGTGACAGTAGAGATGACTAACCTTCAGAGAGGGAATTCCAGTTGATCTGTGAACTTGAGATGCACTTCTGAACACACTATGTGTTTGCTTCTTAAAAGGTCAAGAAGTAAACACAAGGACAAGGAGTGGGTGTGAAAGCTGCCAATAGTTTTCTGGATCACAGTTTTAGGTGTCGACACCAAAATTCTGCTCAGTTACCCACTCTGAGGTACCTACAGCCTGTCTTGGATCTGGTTATCTGGCCACACGCCGGGAAAGCAACACTCACACACAGGTACCACAGTGGGGAAGAAAACAGAGCAGCAGGATAAAGAGGAGAAGCCACATCAGACTTCAGCTGACCACACCAAACAGTCATGTATCTTTAAAAAAGATCTTTCTGCTGAAACCAAAAGGGAATCTTGGGTTCATGGCCATTCACCATCCTACCTAGTGCACTCGCAGCTGTGCTGGTGCCCTGCTCAGAAAAAGGAATTAATTAATTCTGAATTCTGATGAAAGCCAGATCTCACTGAAGCCAACTAGCCAGAGGTCCCAGCCCTGTGCCAGGCTGCCCAGAAGTCCTCGGCCTGGCCCACCTGCATTAACTTTACCAGTAACTTCACCGGCTACAATATTAAATATACTTCCCCTAGATGTTGCCCTCCCACCCTTCCGTGAACTACCCACTCGCAAGAAGCACCCGAAGCAGTTAAACCCTGTACCCTGCAGCAGTTTGGTAAAGCAGAGATGCTTCAGCCCAAACCACCCCCCCACACACACACATACCCCCCCCCCCCCCCCGGCATCCGCTCGACCCCCGCATGCTGGAGGAAGGTTCTCAATCCATACAAGGGTCCTGCAACCCTGCGTGCCTCAGTGGTACTTGCTGGCAAACAACTTCACCCACTGCTGACGCCGGTCCCTTACTGACCCGCGGGGCCTTCGGGCAGCGCTCGCCCCCGGGGCACAGAGAGAAGCCCAAGCGGCCACCAGCCAGGGCCCGGCTTAAAACCCCACGCAGTGCTGCGGGGCGGGTGCCTTCGCCCGGCGGGGTCCAACCCGTCCCCCTGGGGTGGTCCGGGAAGCCGCGGGCGGCGGGGAGGCTGACGCACGATCACCTCTTTGGGTTGGCGCGGGGGTGACGATGTTAACTCTCGAGTGAGCCGCAGGGAGCGCGGGCCGGAACCTTCTTTTTTCCGCGGCCGCCCGGAAGGTTTTCAGCGCGGGAGCAGGAGGCGCCGGAAGCGGGAGGCGGCGGCGGCGGCATGGCGGGCTGGGTGCTGCTGGGCCGGCTGTGGGGCCGGCTGTGGGCGGCAGCGGGGCCTTCCGCCCACAGGTAGCGGGAGGGGAACGGGGCTGCCGCGGGGAGAGCGGGGACGGGGGGGGGGGGGGGGGGGGGGGGGTTCGGCCCCTGTGGCTGCCCCGCCGTGAGGGACGGGTCGGTGTCCCCACCGTTTGGAGAGGCCGCTGGGTGCAGCCTCTTGGCAGCGCTCGGAAAAAAACTGCGCGGACAGTGGTGGTAGGGCCCCGCTTTGTCTTAGCTTTTCTTATCCTTCAGGGGAACGATGGCAGTGCAGCGAGCTGCTTAGCAGCGAGTGTCAAATCGGAGCGCTGTTGGAGCTGAGGAGCTGTGTAGCCTGAGCTCCTGCTCACAGTGGGGCCAGCACGGAGATCAGCCCACGTAGTTCCGGGCTTGGTCAGGTTGGGCCTTGCAGAGAGGCTGCTCAGTCTCTCTGGGCCCCTGTTCCAGTGTTCGACTGCCTTCAGGCTGAACATCTTGTCCTTACGTCATATCAGAACCCCCTTTTTTCAGTTTATACCAGGTTTCTCATTCTCCTGGCACTGCACCTCAGTAAACATGGCCTGACTCTGTCTTGACAGTAACCTCCTCGTAGATATTGGAAAGCTGCTGTCAGATCCCCCGTAAGCCTCCTCTTCTCCAGACTAAACATGCCCAGTTACTTCGATCTTTCTTATAGGGCAAGTGTGCCAGCCCTTGTATTTTTGCTGGACTCATTTAAAAACATCCCTTTTGTACTAGGGACCCAAAACCAGATTTATTATTGCAGATGTGGTCTATTTGGGGTGCTGAAGAAAGAATGATAACTACTTCCCTTGATCTCCTGACCATGCTTCTGTTGATACAGCCTAGGCTGCTGTTAGTCTTCAATGCTGCCAGGAGCTGGCTGGCTCCTTTTTTTACCTTTTTGCCCCCAGGACTCGCAGGCCCTGTGCCTGACTGGGGAGCAGCTCTGCTGAAGTCACAGCCTGTACCCTTTGCATGAGGTTACTCCATCCCAGGTGTGGGACTTTGCATTTTTCCTTTATGAATTTCATCAGGTTCTTTGTTGTCTTTTCCCTCAGTCTGGCAGAGGCACACCCGTGAGCATTATCAACTGCTCCCTTCAGTTCGGTTTTATTCACAAGCTTACCCAGAGTGCGCTCATCCCTTCTTACAGGTCACTGATAAAGAAACTAAACAGGGCAGGTCCCTGAATATATTCTTGAGGAACTCTACCTGTAACTGGCCTTCTGGTGGAGTGCAAGCCATTAACCACAACTCTTTCAGCCTGATGATCCAGCCAGGTTTTTGGCCACCTGATAGCCCACCCATCCATGCCATAACATCCCAGCTTGGATAGAAGGATGCCACAGGAGATGTTAAAAGCCTTGCTAAAGTTAAAGTAAACACCACCTACTGCTCTCTCTTCATTCACAGATCTAGCTTTTTTCACAGAAGGAGTAGTTGTTTGATTTGTCGTTGTTTGCTCCCCTTTGATGTATTTTAGAATACTTCAAAAGTTAGGTGAGAGCATGACAAATAATTAGGTGTTGTTTGTCAAGAAGGGTGGTTGAATAGCTTGCTAGTATAATTTCAGTCTTTATGAATGTATACTGTATTATGGAACGATATGTAGTATGTATTACATTGTGAACATATGTGTTATGAAACATTGTTTGAACCGATAAGACATTTAAACCTTTTTCTCATCACTGGAAAGGGGGCAGCTGGGCTTTGTAGTCAGGCACATTGACAGTGCAACGTGGTGGAGTGAGCATCTTTCTGAAAAGAATGTCCAGTTCCTCAAGAAGATAACTGCGGAGGAATACAAAGCTCAGACAGTCAGCAAACTGTGCCCTCTGAAAGATGAACCGTGGCCGCTGAATGAGTGGAAGCCAGGTGAGAAAGCATCTCTTCTGAAATATCAAACTCATGCTGAAATTATTGTTGTTGTGTTGTTGCATTCAGTAATATCAGGATTGTCTCTTGTAAAGTATTCTCCTTTTTGCATTTACCTCAATCATCCAATACGTCTCCTATTAAATAAGTAAATGTGTAATACATCAGTTCTCTAAAAAACATTTCAAATATTACAGGGTGTTAAAAACCTTGTAAGAACTTCATTTTTAGTCCAGATCAGCACATGGCCAGTCCCACTGCTGCACAATGACAAGATAATAAAATAAGAATTCATCAAAGAAGACTCCCTAGGTTATAAAGTATATGAACTTGAAAATGTTCTTGTAAATATTGGTGGACTCTGAAGAGAACGTGTAGTATATAATGCATCCCACCTCTATGCAGTGATTCCAAAGTCTTACAGACTAGAACACAGTATGAAGTTTCTGAGCCTTCTAAAGGGTCACATCATTTGACAGCTCCCTAACAGTCTGCAAATCCATGGGAAGAGTCTCAGGTATGACTGGAAATTAGAACAAAGAGCATTTTTAAAACTTTAAAGCATGTATTCTTCATCTTAAGTGCTCTGTTTTTCACACCACGGACTGTCAGAAGCCAGACTTGACAGGTTGCCTTTGCTGTACAGTTACAGTGACAAAAATATGCAAAGTCGGGGTGGGAGGAACCTCCTACAGTAAACTTCTCAATAGTTAGTTTGGCTCTAATATTCTACATGTGTGCTGTGTTTTTCTAAAAAAAAAATTAGTCTGAAGCATTGGTTGGTCTAACCTTAATGCGAAACTAGTTTACATGTTCTATCAAACACCACTGAAACAAACAGAACTTTACAGCTAGTGATACTAAAAACAACAAACAGGTTATCCCCAGACTATCTGTAGGGGTGTGAGCGATGTTTCCTCTCCTTCAGTTCCTTAGGAAAGATCAGAGTTAATGGGATTTCACAGGTTATGAGATGGGCTCTTTCAAATATTAAGTGTGGAGTTGCATCCATGTTCTGTTTTGATCTACAGATTCCGTCCGAGTTGGTGTTGTTGCAGTAAAACTGGGAATGATGCCAATATGGACCAAGTCAGGAAAAAAACATGCTGTCACACTACTTAAGGTGAAATAAATCATAATGAATTTCATCTCCTGTACTGTATTCAGATCATTAACCAGAAGTTTCGGGCTAAAGTGAAACTTACCACTTGTACAGAGTAGGAGGAAATCCCTAAAGAAAGGAAAGATTTCTTTCAGTCCTGCATAGTACACCATGTCTGTTCTGTTTATATCCCAAACTGTCTAGGAGCAGTCTGCCTTCTGCCTCAGCTATTCCAGTGCTGCAGAACACTGCATAGCATTACCTAGGTGAGGGAAGAAGGGAGGCAACATAAAGCTGGGGTTAACTACCCCACTTCATGTTGCCACCTGCAGGCACTTTCACATTAGTTTCACCTTGGTTTCTGAGTATTTGTAGCCCTGAAGCTGCTTCTTCGTATTCTCTGGCAGCTACTGCTGTGATGAAGCTGTTTGCTGGCCTCTTGCTGCCTTACAGTGAACCAGTGCTGTGAAGGATACCAGGTTTAGAGGGCAAAGGAGCAGGAGTCTAAAATGTGGGGTTTGCCACTGCATATGGTAGGGATTTTGCAGATCTTGCAGGCAAAATATGGCTATGAAACTACAATTTACAATCTACTAATATTTTTTTCTAAGATAAGCCTTTAATTGATTGGAAAAAGAACATCTGTGATAAAAAGGTAACACACTCCCCTACTTGTAGGCTGTATCTCCTGTTATATAGATACAATTGAAAACAGAGACTGGTTTGTTTTTTTTTTTTTCTCTTTTGATAATCTCATACTATGGTCTCAAAGTGTACACATCTACTTATATTCAAATAAACACTATTTTTCTTTAGGTGCAAGATTGCCATGTTTTAAAGTACATTTCAAAGGAAGAGTCTGGAGGGAAAACATGTAAACTACTTGTTGGAGGCAAAAACGCATCTCCTTTTCATGTAAGTGAACCACTTTGAGTGTTTTTGTTAGAATGGTTGTTTCTGTTATGATTATAGTACAAAGGTGGCATAATCTTTAAAAGATTAATTGGCAGATGTGCATGCCTTGGACCTGATCTTTTGTCCCATTCACCCTTGCTTATTTCCTTAGCATTGATTCTTGGTTAAGAAAACAGCAAGAAGTTTTTGAAAGTTTTGCCTCTTGATTCTCTAAGAAAGTTGTGGGTTTAGGAAGTTGCTTTGGTGTGCAGTGTCCCATGCTGATGAAAGGGTCTGAAGGGCCATTAGTGTGTTTGCCACGTCTGTGGAGTTGCAATACAAGATCAGGACTGCAAGACACACGCTTTAATGGCCTGTTTTAAACTTACCCAGCTTCATCAGTGGTTCAAAAGACTTCGTTCTTTAGCTTACCCTTCTGTAGTGTTTTATTAGCTTTAGTTGTAATTTTTCCACAGGTCTGTTGAGATTGTTTAATTTCACATAGTTTTACTGATGAATAAGTTTAAGACTTACATTTTCAGAAAGACAGCTTCATGATTATAGTTCATCAACAGCAATATCAAAACCACTCACTTGTTTAGACACCCCAATTGTCTGATGGGGAATTTGCAGACACCTTCAGTGGCTAAGGCTGTTTAGCAGAGCTGTCATTCCTGAGGAGGAAAATTGAATTATAGATCAGGGCTGGAACAAAGCTTTCTCTCAAAGGATTGCAGTTTCTATGATCCATTATTTCTGTAAAATACCACTTTTCCTTTCTTGCAGTATCCTGACACTCGTTTGATTTAGGCAAGTAAAAAAACCAGAACTCGTGATTACTAAGCAGAGTATCTCAGTTGGTGATTGTGGCTTTTTGAGGTCATAGATTTCCCTTTTTCAAACAGAAGGTTGTCCCAGAGCCTCAAAATTAGTCTGTGTGCTTGTTTTTGCTTTAGTGGAGGTGAGGGAAGAAGGAACTTTTTTCATTTGCTAAATCTGTTGGCATTTATTGTATATTCTGCTAATTTTGAACAAGCTTATATTTTAAGGTATCTTTCTTTTATTCAGTGGGTTTATCCCATGTTTAACCATCACTACTTGTACTTTTCAGGTGTCTGTCCTGTCACTTTAGTTCATTTCCACTCTTCAGGTGTGACATTTTTCCTGGAGGTGTTACAGCTGTGTTTTGTTTTCCTGTTACCTTGATTTACGACTTGCAAGAAGCACGGGAATAATAATTTTCAAGTTGTATTATGCACATTAGACTCCTTACAATTGATCTTTTCAAAAAGATGATATTATCAGTGAGTCAATTCGTTTTCAGAGTAAAAATGTGCAGGAAGCAAAGAGGTATATAGAAAAATTCTACTTAAACATCTCTTGTGAAATAAGAAAATTTCTTCAAAGCTGAACTACTTGAAAAGTCAACTCAAGGATTTTTCAGTAGTTTGAGTTATGTTAAAGTCTCTCTTGGACAGAACTTTTTTCAAGCTAGCTCCTATTCACTTGGTTGAACTTAGACTCATTTTATTAATGAAATATCCTTAGACCAATCAGTGTTGAGGACATGGTTTGAGACTGAGCTCTGTATTATTATTATTATTGTTGTTGTTGTTTTAGTTATTGTATAAACTACATGATTTCTAAGAAAGAATTTGGTGTGCCGATTCCTAACAATTTTGCTTATTAAGGTATTAACAAATCATGTCTTTCAAACCTGCAGCTAAACTGCAGAATCATTGCCCTTCTGTGTTTATCAGTCTTTTTATGTGTTTCTTTTCTCTCTGAAGTGCCTGAAAGTGAGAATTAAAAGAAAGCTGAATGATACTGTATTGTAATAACATAAGCAGTTTATCTTCTGTTAATTCCTCATAGGAACATTTGTCTTCCTCAGATTCCTCACAGCTGCTGATTTTTAATTAATTCAATCTAACAATCCCCTCAGTAATTTTACTAACAAAGAATTTCATGTATTTCTTTTGGGTGTCAAACTGCTTAAAAAATTTTAAGGGGTATTGCACTTTTAGGAAGATTTGTTTTTTTCCTTTTTAGCTTGATATATATCAGTCTATTACAAGTGAACAGATTTTTCATTATTTTTTTTAATGCAAAATTGTTCTCAAAGGTACAGTTCTGTCAGTGTTATAACAATTTTTTGTCAAAAATATTTTATATGCTTCCCTTAAGTGAGGGCGTATCTATCATTTTCCTATAATTCTAGAAGATATTGTTGGTCTTAAAAATAAGAACACCTGAGAATTCACTCAATGTTCTTCTCTTCAGTGTTGCTCTTTAGGAAGGCTTTGTAAAGACTGCAGTGTTTTGTTTGTAGAAATACATCTCTCTGACCTGACTGAAAAAAATCTGTTGTTGAAGTAGAATGGTGCAAGGCTATGGTAAGACTTTTGAGATGTAGGCAATTTTTACCCCTTGACTTCACTGTGCTTTTCTTCAGCTGTGGTAGCTCTTTCCAGGCAGCTGTGCTGAGCACAGAGCTCCCCTGGCTGTCACTGAAGGTGGCAATTTTACATAACAATGGAAATAAAGGATTGATATGCAGGCATTTAGTAGAAAGGAGATTTCTTTAATTCTTACATATGGTACTACAGATTAATACAGTTGTTCTCCATTGATGCCTCAATTTTTTTGTGGTCTTAGGGGAGACTTTGCATTTAGTTAATGACTTTTTTTTTTTAAGGTATTTGAAGTGTTTTGTACTATGAACTCAAGTTAAATCACTCAAAAAACCCTTTTACCTCTCAAAGACTTCGTATCCACACTTTCTCCTCAAATAAGGACAGATTCATAATGTTAAAATTTCTGGTTTGTGTCTAAGTCAGATGTCCTCATCACCTTGCTCCCTCATTCTTCCGCTGTTCTCCTAATGCTTTATAACAGATTTTTAAAAACAAAAGGAAGGGCAACATGCATGTTTTCAGAATAAAGTAAGTAACAATTTTAAAGTTATTCCTGTTATTTTGTGTTAAAATACACAAAAATATTTTTGAGAAAGAGAGAGCTGCACAGAACTTTTGAGAAGTAAACCTCAGAGATGTGACTATCCAAGTGTGACAGTACTGTCAGATGCTTAAATTGCTTTCTAGGAGAATTCATTTGAAGAAAAATCAGCTGCATTGCTCTTTCCATTGCTTGTATCATCTCAGTGGTCAGCTGTTCTGTGAGTTGTCTTGTTTAAAACAGCTGAGAACAACTTCAAGTACTTTTAACTTTGTCAGACTCTTCTAAAAAGAAGAGCCCTTCTTTAGTAAGTCAGCAGTGGTTTGACACTGAGTGTACTTGGTATATCTTAAAAATACACGAATCATAAACTTGTTCTTCATTTTTCTCTTTTGTCCAGAGACTCTAGATTCTCTAATGTGGGGAAGATAAGCATTTCTAGAAATTTTTGCAAGACCAGGCTTTATTTCTATGGTTTTGTTAGTTAAATCAAATAGATTTATGGTGATGTGGATCTAAATCATTAGAAGCTTTGAAAAAGAAAATGCTTTTAAATTACTACAAAACTCTTTGAAAGTAATTGAAAAGTAATATATTTTATGTGCATTTAAAATGATTGGTTTCCCTTTTCTGATCTTAGAAATCTTCATATATCTCTTGTTTATGTGATGTAGCTGTAGAGTAACTAGTTGACAGAAAATAAAATGCAGACACAGGAGTTTTAAATTAATTTTACATTTAGTTAAAATGCCAGTCTCAAGATGAAAGTGTAGTATGATATATCTGTTTCTCAGAGTGGTGTTGACAGTCTACAATCTCTTTCTATGCTAGGTTGATCCTTAGATATTTTAAGATCACTTCCTTTTTTACGGCTGCTTTTTGTTACAGAAACCAGAGTCTGCACTGGAAATTTTTAAAGAAGCTGGAGTGCCACGGAAGCAGAAAATTACAACATTTAGTGTAACAGATGATGCCATAATTAAACCAGGTAATCTGAGCTACTGAATATTATATGCATAATCATTTAACATCTGCCACTTGTAGACCTAAATCAAGTTCTGATATGTATTTAATTTTTGTTTTGTATGGAAATTGCTGAATTCTTATTTCTTTGTCATTGAGCACAAACTTACTTTTTTCTTAGGGGAAAAACAGGAAATGGACTATACTTTCTAGCTGTTGAGAAGTAGGATTTTTCCTTTTTCCTGGATATTGTGTTTCCATTGATTAGAAAATAAGTCTAATTCAAACTAATATGAACACTGGGTTAAGAAATAAATGTCTGTAACCTTGACGGACTTGTTGGGAATAAATATGAGTGCATTTACAGGAAGTTCTCTGATTATCCTTATGAGAGGGGCACTGAGAATTTTGTGGTAATGTTTCTCAGGAGCCTAAAAAAGCAGTTTGAGAGTTGTTTCTTCTTGCTGCATTCAGAAGCAGCACTGATGACTGTCATATATGGCATTTTTTCTGGCAGCTTGCAAAGTAAAACATATTCAAACATGTTATAACAAATGTTCTCGCTAAAAAAATCAGTATGAGAAGTTTGGAGATTTAATGAAGAGTTTTAAGTTCTTAATATTTTATTAGCTAGTGTATTTAGGTTGCTTTCATTTAGTGCTTTTTGAGAGTTACAGGTGTTTTCTCAATAATTTCATAGAGTAGGAAATTCTAATGCAATACATCTTTATTTACCATTAGATAAGGTTTTTGGAAAATCTTTTTAAGACACTGCAGTAAGTGATAAAAATCAAATCTAATGTGAAGAGGAAGTCTGGACTGATAAATGGAAGCAAAAGCTTGAGATAAAGCAGAATTGCAAGTTTTCAGTAAGCTGATTTTGCAGTGTGTATATTTTGTATGCTACATCCTTCACATACATGTTTTTATGTCACTTGACAGGCATCTTCCCAGGTGTCTATGGATCATACAAATATCAGATTAAATAATATGAGGATTTTTATAATATGAGGATTTTTATGCTTGAGACCTAGGGGAGACTTACACCATTTCAGTTTGTGTTCATACAGATTTGAAAACAAATGGAAACTAGTGTGGCCATGAAGCAACTAAAATTTATTTTTTTTTAATTGACTTAAAACATGCTTGAAACTCTGTTAAAGATACAGCTGCATGGGTCTTCAGATTAAAGTTCATTTATAACGAACTAAGTTATAAACACTGGTTGTGGTTTTTTAAGCTGCTAAGAGAAGAATATTGCACTTGGATGAAAATAAATTGCTGAAGACAAAATGAATCTTCATTTAAAATTAAAACTTTGATACTACAAGCACTTAGGGGAATGAGTGTAATTGCAGGCAGGTGAGTGATGTCACTGACTGGTAGTACCACTACTTCTACTAAAGGTTAGTGTTTAGGTAATTCCCCAGTGGATGAAGCTGTGTTTCTGCCACCATCTACAGTTAGGAAACACAGTGTCTTAACAAAGAGGAAACACTGCAAAACTTTTTTTTTTATTATTTATTATTATTTTTAACCCTATTTTTTATAGGAAGTGTTTTGATTTGGGTTTTTTGGTGTTTTGGGTAACACCAAAGCTTCCACCTTGTGAAATGCTAGTAGTTTTAAGTGAAGCATGTTCTGTTTTTCTTGCCAAGTTCGTTTATTGTGAGTCTTACCTAATTAAGCATTTTGGGCTTTGCCTCTTTCCGTGTCTGAAGTGCATCATATCTGAGTAAAGCCCCGACCCTTCCTTATTACTCATCTGAAATTGGGCTAGGAACTGAGAAATGTGCTCAAGCAGTAACTACAAAGCATCTATTCTGTTTAGTGAGGTTTATAAAGAATAACAAATGTGAATAAAACCAGAGTTTTGTTTCCTGTGTCCGTAATCTACCCTGGATGGCAATGACTGGATAGTAGTTTGAGGATTTCAGCAGTTAGTTGACCACGATCTCTCCTCTTCTTTTCAAGGTACTCCTTTGTATGCTGCTCATTTCCGCCCAGGGCAGTTCGTGGACGTTACTGGAAAAACGTAGGTCCCTAATGATTTAACATGTGCAGTTTGTCTTTCAAATAGACTGGTTGAATTTTTTTTTTTGCCCTCTACTTTGGCTTGAACTCATGGTTCACAAAAACTGAAATACAATTGGAAGGATAGTGGCAGGAAATATAAGTCCATTTAGCCACTGGGTCAAAAATACCAAATTATCTTTACCTGCTGAGGTTTATTTTTTTATTTTGAGCACAATAGGTAAACAAATAATACTATTATTTATACTATGGCTGTGATTATACATGTGTTGTCTGTTGCACGTACGTGATTAGCATGCAAGTGCTTGACTGACAGCTTGAAGAAGAGGTGCTTGGGTTTAGCATGGGCTAGGAGGCCTCTAACGCAGCATCTGTGATATGTAGAAGTGGGGAATAAATGCTGAAAGGCATCAATTCCCAGAAAGATTGCTTGATTTTGGTTTGGTGAAGAGATGCAAAGAAAGATACATCAGGTGGAATAAAGAAAAGCAAGAAGATAGTGAATACATTTAGCAAAACAGCAGAGCTGTCAAATTCCGTGTTTTGTTTTCTCTCATTCCAGCTCATCTTCTTGCCAGCAATGGCTAATGATCTTTTACTTTAACGTGGGAGGAATGATTTCCTCTCAGACCACTGTGAATGCCAAATTACAGCTCAAGTGGTAAAGGGTATCGAAAGAAAAACTGGCATCTTGCAGCAAAGACTAGTCTTGCCTTTTCTATTATGTCCATGATTTCCACTGCCCAAAAGAACTGAGAACTCCTATTCCATATTTCAGTGAAGTGTATTTTTGTTGTGTTGTGAGAGAAAGGTAATGTTTTCCATTTGAAGTTTTATTTTTTGTGTAATGCAGATAATACCCAGCTGGCTGCTTTGAAATATCACCCATTGTAATTGTCTCATGTATGTGTAATACTTACAAATGTTTAGTATTATTCACAGTGTTTTGTAGAAATGGGGAAATAGACCATATAAGTAGAGCTGGATAGTAGGTGTCTAATGTAGCTACACCTGACTACACCTATGAGGGCACTCTATTGAGGAAAGGAGGTTGAGGAGTTGACTGGAATTAGTATATTTCTACGTTAAACTTCCTCATGTAATAACTTAGATCTGGTATATTATTCCTTCTGCTTCTAAATTACATTCAGTGAACAGCCTATAAGAGACAATAGCTTGTTTGCAAAGCAAAGCACGGTGTCATTAGGAATACAGTCGTTCCATGTTGATTAAGTGTCACATTTTGTTAATGCAAGAAAAGCTTTGTTTTTCTAGAAGTATTTCAAGAACTAACAAAGAGCTTTTTTTGGCAATGTGAAAGATACTGGTAAGCAGCCACACAGTATTGATTTGTATATTGCTGTATGTATTTGAAAATACTAGCAAGCTAAAAATAGACTGGGTTCCTGGTTGTGTTCACTGAATCCATCCTGTCTTCTAATTCAGTATTTCTGATCTGTTTTCTCCAGATATTCATATGATCCCATTTCAGAAATTAGCTTTTTGTTTGTACTGCTGATTTTGGTAGCATATTACACGTAATCCTGCAATATGGGTGAAGAAAAAAATTCTTCAGCTAAAGAGAAAGTTTCAAAAGGCTTGGTTAGCATCTTGATTTGGTTACCAAAGTGTATGGTGGGGTTTTATGGCTGCTTTTAAACTTTCCTTGCAGATGTTTTTGTCAAAGTCTTTTGAAATGTTTTGATTCATTTATACCTCTGAAGAAAAACACTTTCACATAAACGAGAAGGTTCAGTTAAAGGTGTATGCAGTTTGTTTTTCTTTGAAGTCTCATAATTTCTTCAGCACAGTACGAGTAGCTTTTAGAGCACTGACAGTAGGCAGTGCGTCTGCATGCTGTCAATCTCCTTTAGTGCTGAATTTTTTCCTTAGTACTTATTTTCAGCAATTTAAAAGCTCAGTCCTTAAGTTTTACAGCAGTTTTTAATGACAAGACTTTTATTCAGTGCTTCAGAGGTGTGTTCCAAAAATGTGTAAAGTCTTAGTGCCCTTTTGGGGACAGCAGTAAACTTTCCTGTGGCCTGATGGTCTGTTTGAGCCCTGATATGCTTTGGGCTAAAATACATAGCACGGTCCAGAAATGTTTCTCTCACAGGCTGCACTTCTGTGACCTTTTTAAGCTGGTGTAGTAAAGGCTGCTGCCCAAAGGGGAGGTGGTGCTTGCTCCCACAGAGTTCCCATCAGCCTTCTGTTGCTGGTACTGGCGTCCTGAGTTGCGTGAAGGAAAAGATCAGTGTGAGAGATACCTGAATTCTTCTCTGGTTTAGTTTTCAACTGGATGAGTTGCATGGCCCAGCTTGCTGATCAGTCCAATGAGCTTCTGCACTAGTACAAAGATGACCAAAACATGGGAATGGGGAGAGGTGGGATCATCCCTGATAGTGGTAGCCCAATGCTGCATGGAAATGCAAATGTATTATACATACTTTATCTGCCACTTTACAACATGTTTCATGAATGTTTCAGGAAACCTTTGGGACACTGGAAATTTTGACAGTCCAAAGAAAAAGCCAATAGTAGTTTTGTTTGAAATGTGCCAGAGTTAAGTGGTGATTCTGGTGTGTTTATGGTTTATTTAAAATTTGCTAGATTAATGGTGTAATCTGAGCCTTAAAGTATGCTCTACAATTGTCTGAAGGTATTTGACTAAGTAGTTGGAATCCTTTTCTTCTACAGCATCTAAATAGTTGTCTTTTAAATTAGCTAAGTTTCAAGAGTTAGCAGCAAACTAAATTGTAGCTTAATTAGAGTGCTATATTCCAGTAGCTTTCTAAATGAAAATTGGCTCATTAAGTACTGGCATTTTATTTGTATCAAATCTGGAAAATGAGGTTTTGTACAAAATCAGGTGGTTGACCGGAACAGCCACTTTCCTGCAGGTGAGACTAGAAGAACTATGTGTAATTAAACTCTATTTTTAATTCTGCAGAAAGATTATTTTCCTTTCATTTAACATTTGTATGTCTTAGTTGCATATCATCATTGCTGCCTGTGATTCCTTTCTGGGACTCAGGTAATCGTGCTTCAGTGAAGCTAAGTAAAGTAAATGACTACATTCGATGTGTTGAAGAACAGTGGCATTATACATATCAAGTCTCATAAAGATAGGTCTCATGCATGGGTTTTTGTTCAGGTACGGTGTTTAATGTTACTATTGTCAGAACAGAAATATGTAGTCCTTGATTCAAGCCAAGACAACAGGTAGAAGATGTTTTATCATAAGTAGGATGATAAACATTCTACTTCAGTGTAGGTTCTTGATCGTATCACAGATTCTGCACACGATTCTTTCAGAGTAGAATCTAGATATTAATTCTTTTTAATTAATACATGGTTCTGGATTAAGATCCCGCTTTCAATATCAATACCTGCAGTTGTCACTACTATGCCTATTAAGAGATTTTTGGAGTTATGCATCTTCTTATGCATGTTTGAGTTTGTTCTGAATTAGAATTGTATTGTGTTTCATAGATTTTAATGAACAAGATGAAGTGTGATGTCAGTAGTTAGGGCTTTGGGCAGGGAAAATGGGGGGGTTTTGGTGAATTCTTAAATTGTCATAGAGAGCATCATAAAAAACATAACTGCAGGGGAGGTACATGTTTGGTTGATATCTTTTATACATATGTAGGCTAATGTGACATTACATAGACTAGCGTATATATTATACTAAAAGTATATCAATATATAGTATACATAAAATAGTATGTATTGCATATGTGATAAATGTATGTTTTAATCTTTTGATTTGGCTAGCTCACACTAATGTTATGAAATGCTTATTAGAACTAAATTCACAAGACATTTTAAGTAATAAAAAAACTAGTATTCTTTTGGGGGATTTTTCCGTTTCATTCACTTATACAAAATACTGTTTTAAGTTTAGTTTCAGTAATTATTTTTCTTGTATTTTATTGGTGATACTTGCTGAATGCATTCATACCTAGTAACTTTCAAGAAGGGCAAAGAAAGCAATTAAACAATTTGACATTAATAAGTGATACCAAAAGCAGACACCTGGCACCTGTTCAGAAGTCAAGAAGAACGTATTCTTACACATTTGTTAATTTTTTGTCAGAATTTAAAAAATTTAAGAAAATAGTAAACTGTATAAATAACTCTCTGATTAGTACTTCTTGAGCAGCATGCATTTAAAGTTCTTTTCATTGTTTATATAAGGTCAATATTAGTTTTAAAGCACTTTGCTTTTCATACAATTGGAATAATGTAAAATCTTTGCATTAGAAATACAGATAAGTTTTGAGTCACAGAAAATTTATTCATAATACTTACTTCTTTGCATGTAGTAGAGAAATCCATCACTTGTTTGAGAATAGCTGACATCAAGGTGGATTTAGGATGGAAAAACACTGTTCTTCTGGAATGGCTGAGGTATACTGGCTGAGCTACTAAGTACCTAGTTGAACTGTCCTCCTTTCTAAATTTGATTTAAACAGATGTTAATAGCTCCTTTATTTTAAACTCTACATTTTATTTACATAATCCTGTAGTTTTTATTCTGGTTCGAGCTTTATTTCAGGTTATGAATCTAGGAAGAAACATACACTGTCTGTAATTGTTTTTCATCTTGACATGTGTTTAAAGAACATTGTATAATGTTTATTCTTTTTAAAAAATAAAAAACTCGAAAATGAAAGAAAACTATAACTGCTTCATATTTAATAAAAACTTGGTTTTGTTTTCAATCATGATGATAACTGCACCACATTGAGTAGAAAATTAATGTTCAAGAAGTCATAAGAGATGGTGTATTTGTAGGTAATTCAGAGACCTTCAATCAGTTTTTCACAAATAAAAAATAAAACTACTCATCATATTGGTTCAATAATATTTTAGAAAGAACCTTGGTAGATAGTAAAGAATTATACATTATGAAATGCTCTAATTTCAGCATTGAGATATACTTCCTTTACTTTAGCCAGAATATTTCAGATGTTGGAGATTTGTTTTCGTATTCCAAATCAACAGATGGATAAGAATTTTCAGGTTTACCAGAGTGCTCTTTTAGTCTGCCACACTTCCTTTAAATTTCCTAAGGCTTCAGTATTGTAAGGTCTGGGTCTTTGTTCACAGAAAAAATGTGTGTAATTGGAAAGACTAAGAAGTAGATGAGATTACTCTATTGCATAAATCATTAAACACTAGCAACTCTATCTTGTGATATAATCTCTTCTTTTTGAAGATACATTTGATGAAGTAAACATTTTTTTCAAAATGTGTCTCTTAGAAGTATTAACTATTATATTTTATATTTTATTAAAAAGTACAATTTACAGTATTCTAAATTGTCTAAACATGAACAATCTGAATGAAATATTGACGTGGTTTCATGACATCAGGGACTTATGCTTCCTAATTTAAGTTGACAGTGCTATTTTCTTTTTAAATGGTAGCTTTTGATGGTTGTATGGTTTTCTCTGAATTGCAAGTACATTTCTGCAGCTAAAGAATTAATCATGCCCCCAATCTGCTCCCTCTGGTAACTGCACAGCTGTTGTTATGCAACCCACTTGCAGTTGGTTTTGGAGAGTTTGCTAATTCCATCTTCCAGCTAGAGATGCCAGAAGTAGTCTACTTGGAAAACATGGCCAATAATAAGATAGTTGCAAAGAAGAAAATAGCATTTTGGCTGAACAGATACAGGTTTTTCTGTAGCTTAGTTTCTGCCATGTATTTCAAAGTTACTAATCTCCTAGCAATCTGCAGACAGAAAAGGCTCAAAATTTGTCTTTTCTTAAAGCATATTTTTCAAACCTTTTTTTTTTTTTTCTTTTTTACAACTATCACTGTTTATTAATGCAAGCTTTTAAAAGAAACTGGTTCATGAGAAACTGGTTCATGAGAAACTGGTGTAACAGAGCCTTGCATCCTTTAGGTTTCTGTCTCGTGTTTGTGATCCCAGGTACCCCCCTCCCGCAGATGCCTTCGGCTCCCTCTCGGAGCCCTGACTCTCCATATCCCCGTGGTGCACCACCGTCTGCTGGGCTGGAAGGGCTCTCTTGTTGGTGGCAACCACTTGCATGACTGGCAGCTTGCAAGCCAAAGGAACATATCACTACTTTAATCACATTTTAGCATATCCTTAGTTGTAGGAAAGGAGCAAAAAAAATTCAGGACTTTGTAACCAATCATTTTGCTTTCAAACTATGACGTATCTTTCTTCTGTGTCAAATTTAACAGGAATTGACCACTAAGTTCTGAGCAGGGAAAGGGAAAACTAAGACACTGTGATGGCACAAGTCATGTTTCCTGATGGTTCTGTGGCTGTAGAGAGTCTTTTCATTTGTGCTGGTTTTGACTGTAGCTTGACTTGCTCCAGGCAGCTAGGCCAGCAATCAGAGGGGAATTATTCAAGCGAAAGAGGAAAGAATCCAGTTTTTGTGAATGCTGGTGTTTTCAGCATTTGTATAGTTTCTCTAGTTCTTAATGGTAGTGCTTTTCTGATCAGGGCAGTCAGCAAAATGTAGTTCATATATACAGCATGCTGTATGCATGTTCATACACAGTTTTATTTTCCTGTGATTGGCCTGAAGGTTCTAATGCTTGAACTAATAGTACCACGACATTTCAAAGTGCATTAGCAGAGAAAGGATTTCTGTGAATTGGAGGAAAAGGTTCATCTTGTTAAATTAGTTAAATAATCAGTGCAGCCATAAATGCAGTGGTCATACTCCTCGTTTTGGAAACAATGCCAGTGTAAACACGCACTTTAATTGGCTTTTCTTTTGTGCAGTGGTGAGGCAATTTTTCCTATTGAGTTTGTCTCTGCAGTAAACAGAGAACTCCAAAGCCAGTAATACTATCATGTGCCTCAGAGATTAAGGTGTGGACTCTGCAAATGTTTTTTGTTACTGTGTTTTAGACCTTACTTGTCAGATGAGTACAGATCAAAAGCGTTAAGTGTTTTCACTACACATAAAACTGTTTTTAAGAGATGAGTCTATTGTAGTTTGGAAAAGAAATGTTCCTTGATTTATTTTTATGCTAGTCTAAGCAGCCATCTCTTTCCTCTCTTGATGCTTAGGGCCTGTCATTAAGTTTGGGCTTTTTGTTTGGTTGGTTGGTTTCTTCATGCTGGTGTCCACTAGGTGAAAGCTTCATTACTGTACCATGTATTGAGGACCATCATAGCAAAGAACATTTTATGTTAGTCTTTTTGCTTATTTGACTCTCTTCTAGTGCTTCTTATTCTGTAAAGCAACCTTTTAAAGTATTGCACTATAATATGTTTATGGTGGAAAATACAAACTTACAGAAAAATAATATTATTCTTTCTGCTGAGCTTTGCTAACAGTAAAAAGATCATGAACCTGACTGAAATTATTGGTTACTGCTAGAAACCTTAAGTATGACTAATCCAGGGTTGTTTCTTAATTATTTTTCTTTTCAGAATCGGTAAAGGATTTCAAGGTGTCATGAAAAGGTGGGGGTTTAAAGGTCAGCCTGCAACCCATGGCCAGACGAAAACTCACAGACGTCCTGGAGCAATATCTACCAATGTGAGGATTCCCATTTCCTGTTTAAACATTCTTCAGTATTTTTAGAAGTCCTTACTAAAAATAAACAAATTCACAATAACTAGCTGTTACCATCTACTCTGTGGTAGCAGAGAATTCCAGCTGTTTCAAAGGAAGTTCAGAAACCTGTATAATGAGCAATACAGATAGCTGTTCTCTTATGCCTTGATTTATGAATATTATATATTGCTGGTAAGTGAGCAAACATATTTTAACTGAGCAAGTTGTGGTATTTTGTCATATAACTGAGAGGAATAGTCTTAATGCTTCAAAGAGAGTTCTAAGAATCTTTCAACACAACATTTATAGATTGGAAAGGATTTACTTGTTATTTCATACTGCAGATATTGTACTGTTCTTTGAACCCTAGTTGCTTTTATCACCTTGCCTGGATTGTGTAGCTGCTTACTGAACTCTTTGATTCCCAAAATAGTTTGTTAGTTTCTAAGCATTTTTCAGCAGAGCACAGAATAATATTTGTAAGTTTCAAACAATAAGTAATATTAGTTTGAAAGCTCTTTGGAAGAGCTTCATTTAAAACTTTGTCCCTATAAATGTTTGTACCACATGTAGGCTAAACTAAGAGAGATTTTTGCAAACTAGCTTTGTTGTACAGAGTTAAGACCAACTAAGACACAGTACTGAACCTGAATTGTCTGTAATTTTTGTAGAGAAATTAAAATAAAAATTAAAAAAGGATTAATAATGCTCAAGAGAATAGTAGAAGCAAAAAGGCATGAGGCAATGAAGTTAGAGAGTACTTGAGACTGTGAAAACATACAGTACTGATTTGTAGTCTTTCATTTCAGCTGGAAAATGAATTCTACACTTGGCACTGTGTTCTCTAAAGACTGAAGAACATAAATATTTGAACATACAACATGTAGTTTTAGCAGATGGTATTCATTGTTACAAAATAACCCCTCTTATCTTTAAATTAGAATTTCCTAAGCAGTAATGCTGGTTGTAATTTCACAAAATACATAGAATGGGAAATAGTATTGGAAATAGAGATGATGAAAAGGAAACGAGGTAAAAGGATGCAATAGGGGAAAAACAATGCCTTGATTTTTATTTTCCAGTCTAGCGTTGACCACCTCAGATGTTTTTGTAATCCCGCATCGTTCAGTATTGAATCCTGTCCCTGGAACTTCATTGCAGCTGATTTCCTGAAATCATAATTTTCATGCAAGTTAAGAAAAAATTAAACAGTATTAATGAATAACAGTGGTGCAGAAACTGAGACAAGTCCCTTGATAATAGTGTAGAACTGAAAATTATTGCACTTATTCCTGCTTTGCACTTATTCCTGCCTTTTCTTTTCTACCTTTGTTCTCCAGGTGATACCCAGCCAAACAAAAATGGGATATAGAAACTAAGCAATAGCAGGGAATGTAATTAAAAATTCTGTTACCAGAAATACATGCTTTTAAAAATCAGTTTAACATCAGTATAAAACTCATAGATTAGGGAGAGGGGAGAGACTACAGTGTATCTTCATTTTGGCAGCCTTTCAGGGCAGGAGGACTTGAGCATCCACAAGTTGTTTAGGGAAGTTTCCAGTTGCTGCGGTCTGTGATGTAGCTGAGAGTCTTGTGTTGAGAGGGGTTTGAGGAAAAAAAAAACCTGTTCATGATTTTCACGACATGGAAGTATGGGATGAGTGCAGATTTTGCGCTGAATCTATACACATTAAGAAAAACTAGAATCCCTTCATTCATCTAACTATTTATAGCAGTTTTATGATTGAGGTCAAGTATTTCAGTTAACATGTAGAGTAATACCTAAACTCCAGCAGAAGGTGTTTAGAATGCTAATCAGTATTAGATATTTTCAGCATTAGATATTTTCACCATTGGAAATACCAGCATATTTTCTTTGTGCTCCTCTTGAGTTTGTAAGTGTACCTCTTGCACTTAGATGATTTTTTTTGGCTCTGTTTTTATCTAGAAAGCCTCCAAAGTTTATCGTGGAAAGAAAATGCCGGGTAAAATGGGTAACATCTATAGGACATCTTTTGGATTAAAGGTGAGTTCTGAGTATATTAGAATGTGTCTAAGATGGTTGCATTGCCAAGTGGTGGACTTAGCCATGTAGCCTTGTGTTGGTGTACTGTCTGTCACTTGTGTCAGAATCCAAACAGGAGTATCTTGAAGTGAGCAAGCCAGAAGGACAAGAGCAGCAAATGTGTGCTTCTGTCTGCTTTGGGTTACAAATAAGTTATCTGAATTCCCTTTTCATATGTGTACCCTGAGAACTGGGGTTTCAGGTGATACTTCCACATCTGATGTGTTTTTCACTGTGTCCCTTGACTTCTGCCTTTGAAGTGGGAAAACAGTTAGGCTTTTGGTGACCTTCAGTTAATGTTTTCAGGTCTATTCCGCTTGTTCAAACCCAACCCAAGTCTGAGGTGTTTCAAGTCCTAAGTTTATCGTGGTCCTTCACTTTCATGTGCAAAAAGGAGATTATAGTTTCTGTCTACATTCTAGTGGACGCATAGCTGCAGCAGGCACTAGGCTATTACAGCTACTGTTCTCTGTCTCTGAAGGCAACCTCTGCAATTTGCACAAAAAGCATATTAGCCTCTGGTTTGCAAAAAGTATGTTTCTGCTGCTCTCTGCTAACCAAAACTAATTTTTTGTAACAGAAAAAAAAAAGTATGTTGAGCACCTCATAAAATTAAGAAATTAACAAATGATCACAGTAATGTTTTTGTGAGCATATTTGTTTTAATTTGTCATGTGATGTTTTTCAACAGCTGTAGAGGGAAGAGAAACTTGGGAGCTTCAGATGGCATGATGCTGAACAAGGAACTGCCTTACCAACTATAGCCTGATCACAAGCCCTTTAAAACTGTTTAGTACATTCCTGCATTAGAAAGCTATGCACTCAGAGTAGCGTGTGACTGAATTTTGTGGCAAGTTTAGGCCTGTGCAGAATATTTTTCTTCTCCAGAGTACCACCTCCAGCTAATCAATTTGTGCTCTGCTGGACTACTGTTTGAAAAACTGGGAATAGTCTCTAAAATGAGCTCAGTGTCTCTTTTCCTGTCTCCTAGGTGTGGAGGATCAACACAAAACATGACATTATTTATGTGAATGGGTCTGTTCCAGGTCACACAAATTGTCTGGTGAAGGTATGTTTGCTAGTTTCAACTTACTGGTATTTGTGACTCCTAAGCTCTCTAAAGCTCTCTTACAAAAGGAAAAATGTTGGTTGAAGGCAATCTTAATTTCTTCAGAGTCCCATCTTGTACTATTGAATTAAAGGGCAGTAGGATCAGTTCTGTAAAAGAGAGTGATTAAGAGGGCAGTAAACGGCTTATTCTTTGCTTTGCATTGGGGTTGTGCACCCCCATGTAGCATACAATAAACCAACACAGGTGCTGAAACCCTGTGCTGTGTCTCAGGGCTGGGTCCATCCCCTTTTAATACTAACCCGAGCCAATAGAATGGTGGTGAGTTTTCCAGAATATTATTTAAGGACTGTATTCATTAAGAGAAATTCACAGCAAGCATTGCTTTAAAGGTTATTCAAAGCATTCCCATACACAGTAGCTGTTACCTTTCCAAGAAGCAGTTGAGGTACAGGTGGAGACAGCTGGAGTTCACAATAATGATAAATGTTTCCTTTGAGATCAGTATAAATATGTCAGTGTTATTTTCTGTGGCATTCTACAGAATTAATTTCTAATTTTATGGAGATTGTTTCAGGATTGTCTATGAAAAAATAAACAAGTCAAATATGTGTTCTTACAGTGTAAATAACCCACATCAGAGCAAGAAAAGTGCTTTTAAGGATTATTTCTGAAACAGACTTTTCTTTCTAATTAGGTGTATTCTACACATCTGCAAGCACAAATTACTTGGAGGAAGTTGTTTCCTTTCTGACTTAATAGAGTACAGGGTATCAAACATCTTTATTATGAATTATTATAAAGATTTTGTTGTATATATACCTATATGTCTGATACATAGTTTACAGTCCTCAGAAGTATTGTAGGGATTTAAATGATCCAGTTCTTAAAGTTAGAGTTGATCAAGTTCAGATGTTTTCAGTTAGTTTATTATGTTCTTGTCATATTTTACTATGGGCATCTAGTTCCTGTTATGCATTTCCTAGTTGTGGAACAGAACTCCACAGTTACTGGGCATTAAGTAAAGCGATGCTAGCTTTCAAATGGTTGTTTTACACACAAAAAAAATGAAGTTGTTTGTTGTGTTTCTCTCACTGGAAATAAGACCTTTTTTTGTGATTGCGGTATCTCTAAACTGCTTTGATAGTAATGTCCAGCCCAAGCCTGGAGAATACATTACACATTTCTCTCCTAAGGTAGTGAAAATCAGTTAGCAGATGTCCAGGAGAAGTAGTTTTCAGGATAACTTCTGCAAAATTACTGGGTATGACATCAGTGACATAGAATTAAGACTGTAGCTTGACTGGCTTTTCATCCATAAATTGGGCTGAATGACCTTTTCTTCAACTGTATTCGAAGTGTTTTTCCTGATCCTGAGCCATGAGCCTGGTTGCTGTATGTTAGTCTGAGCTTTAAGTGTGAATTTGTTGTAGGATGTTGGTTTTAAATCACAACATACATATACAAGCAACATAATGTTTGGTGCCTAGGCTTTATTCTTTGATCTTAATAGTTCTTTTAAGAAAGAGCTAATTGTTGCAAAAGGTTGTGAGGTTGTGCATCTTGTTCTCCTAGTCATGCTGTCAAAATCCACACTTACATGGTTCAGTGGCAACTGCATGTACACATCTCAGATGTTTTATCTGCAAGGATACAACATTTTATGAAGCCACTGAGACTCTGAATACAGTACTTATTTCTACCAGCTCATAACTTTTATTTTAAATAGACTCGGTAAATTAATTTTTTTGATTTCTGGTTTTAAGTGAGTTTAGAAAACAAACATTTATTGAGCACCTGCAATGCGAACTGTTTTTAAAAGCAAAGCTGTGTGTGTTAATACCACACATTATGTACAGCACAAAGATCTCACTTAAATCAGTGATCCCTTGCTAATGAGACACAACACACTTCCACTTGGAGAAGAACCTACTGGAAGTGTTACATGCTTTCTCTTGTGATTGGGTCACTTCCACCTTTTTCTTCCACCTTCTCCTTTTTCTTTATGCAGACACGACTGTTGCCTAGGCTGGAAAGCGTCCCCCCTTAGCACCTTGGATTTACTGATTTTGTTCTGAAAGCAGTCCCGCTGTTAGCTTAAAAAAAATCCTTGAGGCAGCAGTGCTTGCCACAGTCAACAGCAGGCTGAGCACATGCAGTAAAACACCCGTGACACCTGTGATGTGAAGAGGGTCACGGCCTTTGATTGCCGTGGCACTCTGCTGCATACCATTCAAGTGCTCGCCCTGTCCGAGAGTGATTTCTGTTCAGTTCACTCGTCATGGATGGTGATTGGAACTTTATCCTAAGACCAAAAGTTAAAATGGCTCCATTGTTTTTTTTCAAGTAAACTTAAATCTGTCAGCATTAACTAAGTGGTACAGGCACTTTCCTGACTGCTTTATTGATCCTTGGACATGATGTCTACAAGGTACGGAATCTGGATTAATTGTATTTGCAAGTTACTTGTATTTAAAATATTTCAAGTCCAAGTACCTTCAATTATGCATTTTGGCATATGTATTCCAGAGTTGCAGCTAATTCCATTAATGAGGGTTGAAGATCCGTGAGAAGAATGAGAGACACTGTCCCTTAGAGCTCTTTGAGTAACATAATACAATATTTAAAAGATCTTGATGAAAGTGCTCCAGACTTTCATGGTTTTTTAGTGTAAATAACACTGTTTGAGATGAAGACACAGTTGTAGGTATTATTACAAATAAGAATAGATTTCTAAAAATTGCTTACTCACATATTTGGTGATTGGAGGGTGTAAGTAGTGAGCAACAGTTCATTCCAGTTCCTTGAGCTGGTGAATCCATTCTGTTTTTTTTTAATTCCATATGAATTCCATATGAATTACATGTATCTATTAATTTTTTTCCCTTATATTTTCAAATACATTTCTGAAGAGTAGAGAAAGCTTTAATTAAAGCATGCAAAGAAATACTATTTGGCATGTGTTCTCTAAATTCTGTAGCTTTTTTCCAATTAATCTCTTGATGCACTCCTCTGTGGTGTTTTTAGCTTGTGTCTTATGCCTTTCTTCCAGGGTGTTTTCTTGTTTCCATATAGACTTTGATTTTCTATATATTGTTCTATATTTGTTTGAATCTGTAATTGGGGAGAGAAATTACGGGATATTAGTATTCATAATTACTGTTTATTCTACTAAATAACTGCCTGTAATTTCGTAGGCCTAATGTCCAAGGGATTTGGATCCATCTGACTTTGAGCTCAAAAAGTGGAATATCGCATAATACTTTTCCCTTTGTATGTCTCTAAGGAAGGCATTTGTGTTCAGTACGCACTCTGTTGCTTGGTAACCATTAAAACCACAGTGCACCTTAAAGCATATATTTATTTTGTATGTTATGTATTTTTGGAAACTTAGTGCATCAGCACTGTATCCAGATGGAGATGAAGCACTTATATTTTTCAGGTTTCATTTTCAGCAGATAAAAGTGCAGAATAGTAGGATTGATGAGTTCATGGTTTAACTAGAAATCAGTTTTCATTTGATACTGCACACTGAAGCATGCAGGTAAATAACTGACATAAGTAATGTTTCTAGCCAACTGGAAAACTAATCTAAAAAGCTTACTTTAAAAATGATTTCTTTCTCAATGAGAAGGTATAATAAAATTAAGAAACTTTAGCAGTGTGCTAGAATGTATGGAATTGTTCTGTTGTAAGAGTAACACTGCAGAATAAGCATTTGTAAATTAGTGTGTTGTGCCTATCAAGATAGCGTACCTCAGGTAATACCTGTTTCTCTTGGTGTGTCTTCTTAGCAGGACCAGTAGTTAAATCTTTGGTCTCGATTCTCTGGAAAAAAAAAAAAAAATGATAGTTTTTTTCTTTTGGAAACTTATGGCTCTCGATTTCTCTACCAAGTATATTGCCAAAAAGTTCTCTCCGGTCATTCAAGAGAGAAGCACAAGACTATATCCCTTTTTAAGTAGTTGCTTTGTAATGGAAGGGATACTATAACATGATATATTGTAATTCAGGATGTTATAGTTTCTTTGATTATGTTTTATACCTGTCCTAATTTTAAGGCATCCGATTTTCTTAGGACATTCAATATTGATCACTTTGAATAGATCACTTGTAGTAAAACCAGAAATTCTGGCAAATCTTGTAAACTATAGAGTTGCTTAGCAAGTTAGATACTGAACTGGCCTTTTTGTATGCTAGCATTGAGCTAAATTTGAAGTATACAATTGGTTTAGATAAGTTTATTAGCTCAAGCAGAATCCTAACTTCTCGGTCTTCTCCTACTGCTTTCCTTTTTTTTTTTTTTTTTTTTTTTTTTTTTTTTGTAATTAGAGAAGTCTGTAGTGGTTTGCATCGTATTTTGTATCACACTTGCCAGTATTACTGTCTGTGTTTCTAGCTGCTGATGCCTGAGTAGGGTGTGCTGTGCTGAAAGTGAGGAAATGTGGGAATAGTGTGATGCCTTCACTTCCTTCTTTTTCCCTGTCCCGTACCTTGGGCCCCATGATAGAGTTGTGTGAAGGTGTTGGTTGGTTGGTTGGTTGTTTTTTTAAGACAAAATAAGGCTGGTCAGAAATGGATGTAGTTCTTTAACTTAATCTTCTGTCTAGCTTCAAAAGCAGCAGAGAAGCTGAACTAGGTAATAAATGACACCTGAGGAGACTTTTTCTAACATTCTGTATATTTAAACATGTTTTCCTGTTTTGCAAACACATTCTTTGCTGTGGTTGCTAACACAGCTTGAAGCCCTGTTAAACTGCACATGTGAGTTGTGACTTAAGCATCAATGACTGTTTGAGACCATATTAAGTATTCCGTGGTGATAGATTTTTGAATTTGTATTTGTTTATACTACCTGTTATGCCGTCAATATATGGGACGTGCATATGTGCAGTTTCTTAATTGTCTGCAAAACCCTTACTGACTGTTTTAAAGATTTAGTGACAAAATCCCAACCAGCTTCAATTTCAGCTTTCTCTATTATTTTTCTTAGTAAAAAACTTCACAGAGAATATACTGTAGTGTATGTGCACTAGTATATATACCATCTATCTGAGGTATAGTGTACTGTAATATATAATAGTATTAATACAGAAGTTGAGCAAGCCAAGTGATTGTGTAATTGATTCGGTAATTGAGTTATACAGTGAATGCTTTTATGGATAGTAACAACCAGTTGGGCTCTTGGCCTCATTCTGTCTGTGGATGAGAGCTAAATTCACTGGATTTTAGTAACGCAGAGCATTAAATTTTACTCGTTTATTAGGGATGCTTTCAGAAGACTACTGGGAGAACCAGAGCTGTGCTGGGTCACATGTACTTGCTGTCACTGTACATGCTTACACAGACAAGTATAACTGCTGCTGCAAACCATGTAATTCCTTTATAATACTGTGAAATTATTGTGCAGGAATCTGTTGTAATACATACAAGAAAACTTTGGTATGCTGCACCCTTGACAAACGTAAAGGGAGTCATTCAGTAATCCTCTGGAAAAGGCAGATAAATCATACCATGTTTTAAGTTGCTAATCGGTACTTTCAGATTTAAAATGAAATTGAATTCTTCTTTTTGATAGGAATAATAATGGTTATATATGTAACAACTTTTGAAACTTAGAAGTAAGAAAGAGGTTTGTTCATTCGGTTTGGTTGTGATACTCTAAGATGGTGCTTCGGGAGTAGGACTTAAATTGCATTTGACAGCAGTGATTGTAGAAAGTGGGAAAAGAGCAGTAGTTTTCACCTGTCAAAAGAAATACTGCGTCAATTACACCAATCAAAAGAACACATCAGAAGAAAATAGCTTTAACAGCAGATGTGGCTTGTGCTTCTGGGATCTGTCAAGCTTCTGAGGAGTTTGGAAGGGGCAAAATGACACAGTATTGTGCTCCTCTGAAAGCAACAATGGTCTGTTGAAAATGTTTCATAAGAATCTTAAAACTACTTTACAAATTCTCCTTATCACACAAGAGGCACTATCTGCAAAATGCCACTTGACATTAATATGTAAAATACAATGGTTAAGGCTGAACAGAAATCTTACATTTATTTAGATCAACTAATGCAAGACTAAGATTAGACTGTTGGGTTTGCCTTCGATTAAGAGCAGATGTCATTCCTAAATCCTGTGATAAGATGTTATTTTAAGAAAAGAGGGGAAAAAAAAAAAAAAAAGAAAACAAAATTCCTTTCGTTTTTCAGGTGTCCAAAACTGCCTGTAATGACATAGCCAGTATGTAACAGCACATATTATTTCATGATGAGAATAATCCAAAATAACAAAAAAGTAGACATGAAAAACGTTTTAATAAGATGCAAATGAAATTAAGAAGTTATCAGAAATGAAATAATGTATTCTGATCTTCCTAATATCGTTGTAACTCATGTAGAGACCATGGGGATTTTTGCTGTTGACAAAGAAGGCTTATGATGTATTATAGGATTAGAAAGTAAAAGCGGAAGGAGCAAGGGAAATAATAGGTAACTGGTGAAGTTATTAAAACATATTTTCATATAGTAAAAGAAACAGCAGCAACGTATTGAAAGGGAAGGATGACTTCTCAGCCTCAGCAGTTCAGATGGCACTGTTGAAGGTGTCTGACCCTGTTCCCTCTGAACTCACCCCTGCTGGAACTGTTGCAGCAAAGGTCTTTTCGACTTGGACCTCAACCTAGTTTATTCCATATAGATACATAATGTAAATTGCTGTCTGCTGGGACTACAGGTACTTCAGTGGTTTTGCATGGCAGTTTACAGGTGAATAGAGAACACTTTTTGTAGGGAGATGTCTGGTGGAAGAGGAATAATATACTTGAAAAGCTAGTAGATATTCTAACGTGTTGAGCGCTTCACCCCTTCATTCTTAAGAAAAGGTTTTCTTCTGTTTATTGAGCCGGCACTTAGAAAACTGTTGGAACTTCCTCAGGGGGAAAAAAACTGAACAAACAAACAAAAAAAACAACTTTTTTTTCAGCAGCTGAAGTTTAAGTCAAATTTATTGTGCACTTTATCTGCAGGAATCCTCATGGACTTTGGGAAAGGCTCAAGTAATAGCAGATATGAATCTGGTAAATATAGTGCTGTCAGAACAGAACTTTCAGTGGACATAAAATTGTTTTATTTAATTTCTGATATAAATCACAATTGTCTTATGTGAGGTTTTTGTCCAACCAAGTAAGAAAAAGCTTCCTGTTCTTTAAAAGCCCACCAAAAAAATGAGGGGAAGAGCTTATCTTCTCTGTACTAAAATCTATTTGTATATTTATTTGTACATCTATATTTTTTATTTGTATGTCTACTTGTACATTTATTTTTTTAATCCAGTGGAGTAGAGTAGCTAAAGGGATTATTACAGCTCAGGAGGAAGATCATACATAACAATATAGAAATTAAGAATTTTATTTTAAAAAAAAATTTCATCGCTCGAGAATTTGTAGCTCTTTTTTTCTTCAGAGATACCAGCTTTCTATCTTCTACCGCAGGCAAACTGCTTTTTGCTGATAATTCTAGCTACTAATTTTCTTCAGAGATTGGAGTTTCAGGGGCTAGATTTTAAATCTTTCCACATGTAGAGAGGTCAGTAAAGGAAAGTAATTGCTCTGTGGCACTACAGTTCTTGGAAATTAACTTTCTAAAAGGCTCATGTTTGACAAACCTGGGTACTGATTCCTGAGTGAAGAGTTTAGATGCTTAACTCTGCAGTCACTGAATAGCTCTGCAGTAGCCAGAGGGACTGAATACAGCACATGCACATACCTTTGCAAAATTACTTGCCATAATTAGTTTGTATTGTAAATACAAAAGCATGTCTTGGTTGTTGAAGAGGTAATTACATTGCATAATCTAATTTGATATGTCATGTAGGAAAGCACTGTGGGATATAAACACAGTTTAAACAAACCATGCTTGCACACATTTATTTTAATAGCATTTTTAAATATTGAGCAATGAATTAATGAGAATAGGTTTTGATTCTCTCACAGTAGTGATAAATCTATCACACAAGTAATAAATTCTCTCTTGAGTTTTTTGTTTTGCTGTTTTTTTAAAAGCTCCTTAATGACAAGTACAAAATGTTAAATTCGGTAGCTGGAGTTGATGTTAAAATAGCTGATGATTATACCTGGAATTCGTCAGATAAACAAGCATAATGTGAATGCTGTTGTTTTTTTTCTTATGCATGCAAGATGATTTCTTTAATTTCTAGTGTATCACTGTCTGAAAGTCTTCTGTAAGATTTATTAATCCCACACTTCCCCCTCCTGCTCTTTAGGTCAGAGACAGCAAATTGCCTACTTACAAGGACTGCAATAAAAACCCTCCATTCCCTACATTTTTTGCTGATGGAGATGAAGAACTACCAGAAGACCTGTATGATGAAGAGATTTTCCAGTTCACGGATCCATCTGTCACATATGCATAATGTTCTTCACATCCTTGAAAACACAATTTTGTTATTTTCACAAACTTTGCAATGCTGTATAAAAGCAAACCTATGAACTGTAGTCTGGCCAACTGACTGGAACACTTCAGATATTGCCATTTTGGTCAGGTTATAAGATTTACCACTGTCAATTTCAAACCTGTATTTAAGGCAGCAGATGAGTGAGGGACAGGTTGTAAAACACACAGAACAGTTTGTCTTCAGCGGTCTTCTGTCCTCCTGTCTCAGGCTGTGAGAACTTGCACATTTCTGAAAAACTGTTTTGAAGATGGTTCCATTTAATTTTCCGAATGATACCAAACTCTGTTTCTCTGTTGGGAGAAGTATTCTGGCCATCTCTGGTCAATCAAAAAAACTTCTAAATCTGCTTTGGCATCTGGGGGGATCTGTGAAGAATAATCCAAAATAAAACAAGAAAATGCATTGCTCTGTAGCAGCATGAGCTTGTTTTGTTTCCTACTTTTCACCAGAGCTCTTTCTCTCATTTTGCTTTAATGTTGTGTTGAATTTAACGTAGCAGATACCCAACAAATTTTCTAGGGGAAAGATGATGCCAGCCACTGTCTCTTCAGAGAGTTCTGGCAATGTGTACAGTGAGGGGGTGTTCGGATGGGAAATGTTCAGTAACAAAGCAGCACTAAGACTGCAGTGGCCACCTGTTTGTCGCCTTTGCTGACAGCTTGTTCCGAACTTCACGGAGGATCCCTTGCATGCTCTCTGGAGAAATATCTCGGCGTCTACCATTGTCTCTGTATTGGATTCTTATGCTGTTACAGGAGAGCTATTACAAAGAAAACAAGCCAAATGTGAAGGATTAGTCTTTATGATAATACTGATTTTCTACTCCACCTTTCAGTGATAACTTGAATCAATACACTCTCTTTATTTTTCATCTTATGTGATTTACTATTTATGTCTGATCTTTTGAGTGCTATAAATCCTGTCATGCACAGCAAGTACCTGCATAACTGTCAGTGCCATCTGAGCGTGTGCTTACAAGCCCTGCAGTAGTTCAAATATATGCTAGGCTACCATTAATACTGTAGCAGTGCTGTCTACTCATCTTTGCAGCTTCATCACAACAGGTATCTAAGGTAAATATGAGATTTCGAAAGGCCTTACTAATACTATGCAATTTAAGAGGTGGTTGTCTTTGTGGTGTCTCTCACTGAAGATGCTTTTAATTTTTTTGTAACAACTTGAAGAAACCACATGCCATCTTAAAGAGGCTGTATATAGCTACTGGCTTGTAGTAGAAATGTGAACTAGTAAATATCTACATTGTAGGGTATCATCTTAACTGGATTCAGCTGAATAAAAATGCAATTCAGATGAGTGCATCGGAATTCTGAATAAAAGCACCACCTTCATGCTTCCCCCTCTCTTCAGTAACAGGGGCTCCGCAAGTGCAGGTGTCGCACATGCAGCAGATGTGATGCAAGAAGCCCATATACTAGGAAATACCCAGTGGGGTGTCGTGTTTTGGCCATGATATTAGCAATGAGTGCAACCTATCAGCTGTTCCAGATAGTTCTGGTTCCCTGAAGAGGTGTTTGGTGTTAGATCACCTGATTACAAAATAGATTTTAAAAGTTACGACGTTTCAAGGTTACTTGCTGTTGACCACATGTAAATCAGGGTGTGTCCAGATGTGCAGTGTGCTGCTCTGCTCTGGTTTATGGAATAATTCTGGAATGTATATGCTTTCCTTGAGGAGCTTTGTTGGTGGTGGTTTTACTTACTTGGTAATGATCCTGGACTATCACTGAGATGACCACCCAGAGAGATGCTTTCTCCTACTTGATTTCTCGGCCAGAAGTTTCAAGACTCGGGGATTCTCTCCTGCGAGTTATAATTTGGGTTTGCTTCAAGTGTATGTCTTGGAAAGCACCAAGAGTTAAATATGAGCTCAAAAAAGTTTAAAAAGTAAATTAAGATTAACTCTGTATCAAATGAGATTTCAGCTTGAGGAGAATATAGACAACCTACTTAAATTCCTGTTTCTTTGGGAAGTGAAGAACTTCTCCTGTTTTGGCATAAACAGTGAAATTACAATGATCTGATCGTGTTACTTTTTAGCTTCATTGTCCAGGGGATGACTGCAGTCTTTCAGGGAATTCTGTAGTTAATGTTGCCTTTCATTTGTTTAGCTTTAGAATTTCTGTTGAAGCCTGTGTACTATGAGAGTAGTCTCTGTAGTTGTGCTTTTGAAATACGTGCTGGATTTTTCCAAGTGTTACTAATTCAGGTAGGTATTGGTCTCATTTTTCTTGAGATGTACAGGTGACACCTTTTGCATCTTCATTTATCAAGTGTTTGGATACTAAAGAGGTTTCCTAGCTCAAGTAAAGACTCATGTCTTGAAAGTATTTTCTGTAGAGCAGCTGCAGGGTGAGATGGACAAGATCTGTTGACTTGAGCTCAGAGTAGTGCAGCCTAGATTGGGACATAGACATCTGTTAGACCTGTGTTTCCATCAGGCATTGGAAGGCTTGTGGTGTTTTGAGTTTAATTTTCCATATGCTACCCATCTCTCTGTCTTCTGACTAATGAAGGGACTTCGTGCAAGAGAAAGGCAGACTGAATTTATTTCAAGGAGCAAAATTGTTCAGTAGTGCAATGGCACCAAATGCTTTAAACCCGCCTACAAGTTTGTTCTTAGAAAAAGCTAGGGGTGCTTACTGAAGTATTTTTAGAATTTATTGAAGGTGCAGGTATTCTTTACTCCCTCAACGTGGCTGGAGGTTGTCGTGGCTTATTGAGCAGATGTGCTTTTGAAAGTCAAATAAAAGCAGACAAAATTAGGCAAATACTGATTTTTTTTGTCTCAGATGAGCCAACGGTTTCTTGTGTGAAGGGATGCATTCATTTTTCTGAAAAGGCAAACCAAGAGTTTGGTTGCAAGGAGATACCTGTGTGTTTTGTTGCTGTTCCTGAGTACAGAAAGTTTAGAGCCATCAGGGAACAAGCAGCAACAAAAAGCAGCTCTTACTCCATATTACCTGTAGATTATTAAAGAAGAATGAGCTGAACGTGTTCCCAGGAGTCTGAATCCTGCAGGACAACATCCTACCCGATGTTGCAGTCTGGTTTGCTGTCTGAGGTAGTAATTGTTGGCAAGCTCTGCTACCATTGCCATAACTTGTGAGTCAGATGAGATCTGCCATGAACTCTGTGCAGTTGTGTTCTGCACAGAGAGAACAAAGTGTTGTTCTCCTCTGGGAGTGTAGTGCTTGGAAGTTGTGCACTCTCCTCAGCCCCTTCTGTGTCTTTGGGCTGGGAAAGGCCCTACGCTTTCCCTAGCATCTACCATTTTGCTTTGTGATGCTTAAAAATCATAAGAAGATCTAGGAAAACACCCGAGTGCTTTTAAGATCATGAGTGCGCATAGGTTTATCGTGTTCTATTACCATTTTATCAGGAAACCTGTTGTAGAGCTCTTTTCCTTGGAAAACACTAACGTACACTGGTGCCTGTACACCCGGGGAATCTGACTGGGACGAGCTGCCCATAACGATGAGACAATGCAGATACCAAGCAGTTTCTTCATATTTAGTCCATTTTCTGCAGGCATTTGTAAATATAAAGGCTGTGGGCAAGGTGCTGAGCTGGGATTTGCATGTCCAGGAGCACATCACCCCCTCCTTAGGCTGTTCCATTTGTTTGGGCCTGTGGGATATTTTTAATATCACCAACATGCTGCTTTGGAGGAGCATGTAGGGTTAAGCTTTAGCTGTATCCATGGCTTCATGGTGTGACTGCTTTGAAAAATAAATACTCTTGATTAATAACCCCTCTCAGTGGTTCTGTAGTAGTACATGAATAAACAGTGGCAAGCTTACACTATACGTTGAAGGTACGAAGACAGCAGGAAGAGGAAATCAAAACACTCATCTATCACTTGACAGCATAATTGCAGTCATTGATGATAAACAAGGAGAGTTTATTTCTCTTGAATCCATACTTTTAAATACCATTGCTCTGTCATTATGTGAGACCGATAAATATTTTCCTTTGCTGTTTTCACTTGATGTGGAAAAATGGGGTTTGTTCTGCTGACATTTAACAAATATTATTCTAGTAAGCTGAAGGGATGATGGGAGTTTATGTGTAGAATTTCACCTCCGTGGGGATTTTGGAGCCTGGTATGGCCCAAGCTTTTCCTGAATTTGCTGTTTCCTTGCTGAATTCTAAAAATTCTGGAGGACTGAAAGAGGACGGAGTGCACCACGAGCTGTGAGGGAGGCTGAGCTGTGTAAGCCAGCTGCTCCGGCACACGGGGCTCCTGCAGCATGCCAGGGTGAGATTGTTGTTTAAGAGAAGGGTGCTTCATAATGTCTGGCTAATAGAGAGGTGTTTCCTACCCTAATAACCACAGTGAGTGGTGGGGTTCACTCATTTTGAGTGCTGTGTCTGTAACTATTGCTTGGCTTGGATCATTCTCCTGATTTATGTCATTCCCACATCTCCTTGAAATTTCCTGTGGGCATGCCTCCGTTTCATAACTGTAAGCATTACTTGTTCACCATGTCTTCTAATAATTAGCTCCTATGCCCTTCAGTGCACAGATAGTGCTTATTAATTGCATTTAATGAACATCTCTCACCTGCAGCAAATTGCCCTGCTCCGTTTCACACCTTAGTGTATAACATAGTGTGATTTATTTATATGACACACTTGATGGCACTTAACAGCTGTAAAAACATGCAAAAATGCTGACCTTGGTCTTGGGTATTTATTGGTTTTGAAGGAAGCCTGCAGTTTCTGGTGGAAGAATTTTAAGTTGATTACACATAGCCTTAATATTATCACACCAGAAAGAGAATTAATTTCGATTGGTGCAACTCTGCTGTGTTTGAAGTGTGGCAGCAGAACAGATGAAAAGCTGGCAGTTGTTCCTGGGGGCTATGTATTGCAGCAAGGTGTGGTGTGAGGTAGTAAAGGACTGATGGCCTCCAAATTAATGCAGCCTGCTGACCTGTGTCATGAGGTACCCAGAAAGATGTGTGATGTGAACTGAGGAGGACTGTCACACCGGTTCAATCCCCAGTTGTCGTGACAGTGCACTCTTCTTTGCCTTTCCCCCCTCATTTTACAGAAGTGTGTGCATCATAAATGTGAATATGTCACCAGAGTGGGCAGCACAAGAATGATTCCCAGCAGTAGCCATGTCCATGATAACGTAAGGACTAGTGATGCCCTAGTTCTCTCTGTGTTTGTCCCACTTTCCTCATTCCAATAGAAGATCACACATGGGTTCCCACCTACGTTGATATGCCATAGACTCATTTCTGTTTGAATACCAAAGACCCAATGTATGTTCTTGCTTTTTTGATCTAAGTGGGCAACCAGTAATTTGTGGAATTAAGAGCTACCTAGCTACTGCCCATGATGAATTGAAAAACACTGCTTGTGAATAATTTGATTTTGGGG